TGAGACAGGGAAGAGAAGGCAGTCAGTATGGAGTGTGTTCGGGAGCAGGTTACTGCTAGGAGCAACTGGGGCTCAATTTGACTGGGGGCCTTAGGGAGACAGGCAGGGACTGGTTTATTTATCCACCAACTGCTGGGGATTTTCACCACTCTTTTCTTCCTGCTTACCCCAAACACCTTCCCAGGGTTGGAGAAGCGCTCTGGCATAGACACAAGACCATGTGGTGGGAAGCTGAAAGCATGAACAGGATGGATGAATGGGTGGGATTGCTGAATATGGGCAGGGAAGTGTCGTCTGCTGTAGACAGTATGAGAGACCAGCTGTGTCCTGCTGGCTGTTACTCAGTTCCCTGCCTCCGTCACCCCTCTGGACAGTAACAGTTACAGCTCAGCAGCCCTTCCCTGTGGGGATGCAGAAGTTGGGATCCAGCGGGCACATGGACCCGCCAGTAAGACCCTAAAGTTACCTTTCATTGAGTACTTCTTAGTCACCAGACTCCTGACACATACTATTTTTAATCTTCACTACAATGTCACAGGGAGCCATTAGTACCCCTATTTTACCGAAGAGGAAAGGAACATTCATAGAGGTGCAGTCACCCAGTGGCTGGGTCAACATTCCGCATCAGTACTTCTGACCCCAAATCATGGCAAAGGCAGAATTGCAGAGTGGTTAGGAGTAGGGCCTCTGGTGCCACACTGCTGGGGTTCACATCCTGTATTCCCTTAGCTTTGTGACCTTGGCAGTTTACCCTGTTGGTGCCTCACCTTCCTCGTCTATGAAATGGCTCTAAAAGTAGGATTTCATTCCCAGAGAAATTGTAAGGATTAAGTGGTCTAATTGTGAACATAAAGTACTTTCAATAGTGCCTGGCATACAATGGTGACATATACATATTTTCTGTCATTCTTTCTAGAACCTCATGGTGTCTCTACACATGGCAAGAAGTCACAATTTTTTTCTATAATTAATTGTATCAAAAGGCAAAAATTTCAAATACAACCCAAAGACCTTTTTGCTTAAAATATCCAGTGAGTTAGGGCAAAAAAGAAGAGACTCAACTTCCACCCACTTTGCATTTGTAAACCAGCCCCTAAAGAAGGAACATGTTGCCCAGAGAAGGAGGCTCTTCTCGTGGTGACCGGCTTTCCCAGATGCTTTAAAAATACACCTGGCCCTCTTCCATCTCCCAGCTCAGGAGCAGTTAGCTCCATTCAAGCCCTCACTTATCTCTCATGGCAACCAGCATAAACACAGTCATGAGGCGCGTGTTTGGGAGCTGGTAACAGCTGAAGGAGAGGCCTCATGGCTGCTATAGGCTTTGCACCGCCAACCAGCTGGGGGCTGCACATGAAAATAGAGAGGAAAGAAAAGAAGGAAGCATCCATGTGAGTTGGGCAGGTTCCTCCCCTCCCAGGCATCCCACACTTACTCCTCATCCTTCTGTACCACTTGCCTCTTTCTATGGGTGTCTTTGAGAAGTTCGGAGAAGGCAAACTGAGAGTAAGAGTGCGTTGGCCAGACAGGCTTAGGAGCCGGCTGTCCTGGGCATAGCTACCAAGGTTATTTTGTTCATGTCCAGTAGAAGGTCTTATGGAGACATGTTGGCAGGGGGTTGGCCATTTGCCTCTTTACTTGTGTTTTTAGACACACTTGCAGCGCAGTGCTTAGGAGCTCAAGTAAAATCAGAACACATTTATAGTGTTGCACAAGCCATTTGCTCTCTTATAGGACCCAGTTTCCTCATCATAAAATTAAGGGATAGACCAGACTTTAAATATCCTTTTAGACTTAGTCTTTCCCTGACTTTATGGCTAACATGCTCTTTGGAAATTTATAGAATTAGCACCACACAAAGAAGGGGTCTTGGCATGTTTCTCTTCTGAGCATTAGCACTGAGAACCATGATGTGAGAGGAAAAGGCATGGAGTTCCCATTCAGACAACTCTGGCTTAGTGAGTCTCTAACCCATTAGCTGAGGAATCTTGACCATGTGATCTTCTTTGGTTTTGGTTTAACTCCTTCCTTCCTTCCTTCCTTCCTTCCTTCCTTCCTTCCTTCCTTCCTTCCTTCCTTCCTTCCTTCCTTCCTTCCCTCTCTCCTTCTTTCTTTCCTTCCCTTCTTTTTCATTCTGTCACCAGGCTGGAGTGCTGAGGCACAATCACTACAGTCTCTGCCTCAGCTTTCTCTCCAGTAGCTGGGATTACGGGCACGTGCCACCATCCCCAGCCAATTTTTGTATTGTTTGTAGAGACGGGGTTTTGCCATGTTGCCCCGGCTGGTCCTGAACTCCTGGGCTCAAGTGATTCACCTGTCTTGGCCTCCCAAAGTGCTGGAATTATAGGCATGAGCCACTATGCCCAGCCACGGTTTAATTTCTTCATATTTCAGTTTCCACATCTGTAAAATGGGGATAGTAAGAGTCTCAATTTTAGATGATGATGGGTATAAAATGAGCTAATACATACAGAGCTTTGGACTGCACCTGTCATGCTGTTGGCTCTCAATTTCTGGTTGTAACCATTATTCCAAATGGTGGAGAGGAACTGGAATTGCCTCCTCCTGGGATGCTTCATTCCATTTTCATCCCATCCGCTCTTATTCGGTGCTGAAGTTTCCAGTTTCAGAATTGAGAGGCTCCATCCAAAGTCTGAGGCAGAGCTGGGGACATCCCAGTGCATAGGCAATGGAACCAGAGGTCTGGGTTTGGAATCCCAGCTGCACAGGACCTTGGATGTCATAGCATCAGTTTTCCTCACCTGGAAAAGGGGGACATAATAAAATACAATCCACTACACCTAGCTGGCAGTGTGGTTTTAATTTTCATTTCTCATATAATGAATGAGACTGAAAATTTGGCCATTTTTCATCTATCGAATGGGCAGAATTCAAAAGGTACAACATCAGACTGTTAGTTAAGGTGTGTGGAAACACATTCTCATCCACTGCTCCTAGGAGGGAATGTGAATTGATGGGGGCTTTGTGGAATTATTTGATGAATTATTCATTCGTCAAGCCTGTCTTTCAGTCTCTAGATTCATTATGACCATTACTTAAGATACATAGCATTTGAGATACTTCCCCTAAATCAAATGACCGGTATTTATTGTACCTCCTACAATATACTTGGCTACTCATTATACATGTGGTTGGAGTTTGTGTAAGAGTGAAGCAATCAAGAAGGCAACCCACCTATGTTCAAGTCAGACTCTGCCATTTACCTGGGCACTTCTTTGAGCTTCAGTTTACTTATCTCAGATAAGTAATGTCCCAAATGAAGGCAACATTCCGGCCATTGTAGGCCAATGCTGAGCACATAGTAAGTGCTTAATACATACATACATGTTGAGAGTTGTGATAGTTGGTGTTGGCAGGCTACCTAAGGTAGTTGAAAGACTGTTTTTGTGTTCTGCTTTAGACCACAGGTAAGATGTCTTCTGGAAAACACCAGAATGAGTTACAAACGAATTAAGAATTAAATTCGAAATATGAAACTATAAAATTACTAGAAGAAACCTTGGGAGATTTCTTGGGGGGTAACTTTAGTGTGTGGAAAAACCCAGAAACCATAAATGAAATGATTATACATTAAATTCTGCTACATAAAAAAATTGTGTGTGACAAAAACAAAGTCAGAAGGTCTAAAAAAATGAGGGAAAATATTTGCAAGTCATATAATAAAGTGTTTCTTTCCTATATATAAGAAAAAAAAGTGTAAGAGAGAATATGACAACCCAATGAAAAAAATTTAAAAAGTATACATGGCATCAAAATGTTTGAAAATATTCTCAGTCTCACTCGCTATATGAGAAATGCAAATTAAAACCATGCCAAAGGCTGGGTGCAGTGGCTCACGCCTGTAATCCCAGCACTTTAGGGGCTAGCAGATCACTTGAGCCCAAATGTTTGAGACCTGCTGGCTAACATGGCAAAACCCCATCTTACTAAAAATTATAAAAAATTACCTGGGCATGGTGGCACACACCTGTAGTCCCAGCTACTTGGGAGGCTGAGGTGGAGGATTGCTTAAACCTGGGAGGTCAAGGCTGCAGTGAACTGTGATTGTACCACCACACTCCAGCCTGGGCAACAGAGTGAGATCCACTTTTCACCTAACAAATAGGCAAAATTCAAGAGGTCGAACATCAGACTGTTGGTGACGTTGTGTGGAAACAGGTGCTCTCATCCACTGCTCCTAGGAGGGGACCTGAATTGATGGGTGCTTTCTGGAGAGGAATTAGGCAGTATGTGTAAAAATTACAAGTGTCCATACTTTTTGACCCAGTATTTTTATTTCTAGGAATTTATTTCATGGATATTTTTACCAACATACACAAAGATGCATGTGGAAGATTATTTAGTTCCATTGTTTGCATCAGCAAATGTTTGTAAATCATCCAAATGCACATCAGTAGGGGGCAGAGTGAATAAATTTTGGTTCTTCCAAAGGAAGGGATATTATGCAGCCATAGATAAGAATGTGGGCTGGGCATGGTGGCTCACACCTGTAATCCTAGCAATTTGGAAGGGCAAGGTAGGAGGGTCACTTGAGACCAGGAATATGAGACCAGCCTAGGCAACATAGTGAGATCCTAACTCTAAGAGGAAAAAAAAAAAAAAAGAAAAGAAAACAATGTGGATGCATTTTATGTGGTTACAGAATAATTTCTTAAACATACTCTGAAGAGCCTGATGCACTGGTGTGTGCTTGTAGTCCCAGCTACTCAGGAGACTGAGGCAGGAGGATTGCTTGAATCTAGAAGTTCTGGGCTATAGTGTAGTATGATGATGGGATATTCACACCAAGTTTGGCATCACTACAGTGACCTTTCAGGAGTGGAGTGTCCCACTGCTCCAGGAGGGGGTGAACCTGCTCAGGTTAGAAACAGAGCAGGTCAAAACTCCTGTGCTGATCATTAATGGGATTATACCTGTACTCCAGCTTGGGCAGCATAATGAGGTGCTGTCTCTCTCTCTCTCTCTCTCTTTTTTTTTTTTAGATGGAGTCTAGCTTTGTCACCAGGCTGGAGTGCAGTGGCATGATCTGGGCTCGCTACAACCTCTCCCTCCTGGGTTCAAATGATTCTCCTGCCTCAGCCTCCTGAGTAGGTGGGACTACAAGCACATGCTGTCACACCCAGCTAATTTTTGTATTTTAGTAGAGATGGGGTTTCACCATGTTGGCCAGGATGGTCTCTTAACTCCTGACCTCAGATGATCTGCTTCCTCGGCCTCCTACAGTGCTGGGATTACAGGCGTGAGCCACTGCGCCTGGCCGAGATGTTGTCTCTTAAACAGAAATACTGTGAAGAAGCCAAGAGGGAGTACCATATGTATAATGAGTGAGAGGGGGAAATATTATACCTACCTCTTTGCTTTTATATGCATAAAATATTCCCAGAAGTATACATAGAAAACTAAGTAATGATTGATAATAAATAATTCAAACTGGGTAGCTGAGGGAGAGGGGTGGGAGAGAGAATTACAATGTATACTTGTTTATATGTTTTGAACTTTGAATCACATGTGTGTATTACCTATTCTAAACAATTAAACAAAACACAATCTGTACATATAAAGTGCCACCTTTCATCTGGAGCACAAGATGGAATTTTTCTGTCTTTAAAAGTCTCTTAGATCCAAAGCAGCAAGGAAAAGTGAGATCTCAGAGAGTTTCCAGATTAGGAGTCATGGGAGTATTGTGCTACAAAAAGCCTAAGGTTCATCCTGCCAACTTGCTCAGCTGATAAGTGCTAGTGCTCAACTGAGTCCAAAGGGATCAGCCCTGGGTTCCCCAATTTCTGGAATCCAAGGGTTTGAGTGACTTTGAGACCAATGGTTAGAGATGCCAGTCTGTACCAGTGGGCAGCCATGGGGCTCCCAAGAAGCCAACCTCCCTCCTCCCCACCTGTTGTGGACCCTTGGACAATAGATCCTAGAGGTGGGGTGGAGGGTGCAGGGGTGGATCTGGGGAAAGGAATAATTGAGCCAGGTGGTTTTGAATTACAAGTGCCCATAGAGCTAAACTGTCACCATGGAAAAATGAAGGCATGGAGACGCAGCAGCTGGAAACACAGGGTCTTTCCAGTCACAGTCACAGTCACAGTTGTCAGCAGGTGTTGAAAATAACCCACCCTTTGGGCCCGATGCAGCTGGAGGGCTTTGTCTCTGACCTATGGCCAGTTCTCCCAAATAATTCTACAAACTTGTCCTCCCCTGTCAAGCTCTAGCAGAAGATTTAATAGCACTGGCTGATTTATGTTGGCCGCTGTAATCAAATTCAGAGCCAAAGCCCAGCCAACCATCGGGAGGTTTCTTTATGTTCCCTTGGCTCCTAATAGCATTGTCCTCCTTCCTTTCTACTTACCACATGCCATTTGGTCAAATTAGAACTTGAACTCAAAAAGCAGATGCCTTTCTTTAGATAAGGTCCAAAATAATTCCCTTGTCAGGGGAAGGAGGGATGGATTTGTTTCCTCGTCTCTATGTGTGCAAAGGAGGCACTTTTGATATATGACTTATATAAAATAATGACGGATGTGAGATGACTGATTTTATTTCATCCTTGTAGTAAGGGCAAACGTTTCCTCCTCAGGATGTCACTGTGGGTTAGGGATGGGAGGCAGAAGAGAATATCCTTCTCATGTCATTTGCAGTGATTCAGTGACCTGCTCAAGGCCTCTCAGTGAGTGGCTTCAGGTACCTCCAGGCAATGCTGGTGCCTTAGCTCTGTACGGCAGCTCCAGGGTCCAACAAGGGAGTTGGGCAGACCTACTCCCATCCCTAATCCTTGTGAACATATCTTCTGGTTCTGTGTTGCCTACCTAAACTTTTAAATCTTATTCTTCTTAAAATTACCAACAATTTCAAACATTCAGAAAAAGTAAAGATAATTGTTCAAGGAATAGCAATATGTCCACTGTTTGGGGCTGAATTGTGTCTCCCCCAAATTCATGTTGAAGCCCCAATAATACCCAGTACTTTAGAATGTGACTGTATTTGTTTTTGTTTTTTGAGACGGAGTCTCGCTCTGTTGCCCAGGCTAGAGTGCAGTGGCACGATCTCAGCTTACTGCAACCTTCACTTCTCAGGTTCAAGTGATTCTCCTGCCTCAGCCACCCAAATAGCCGGGATTATAGGCACCTACCATCACACCTGGCTAATTTTTGTATTTTTAGTAGAGACAGGGTTTCAACATGTTGGCCAGGCTGATCTCCCACTCCTGACCTCAAGTGATCTGCCTGCCTTGGCCTCCCAAAGTGCTGGGATTTCAGGCATGAGCCTCCACGCCCAGCCAGAGTGTGACTGTACTTGGAGATGAGGTCTTTATAAAAGTGATTAAGTTAAGATAAGGCCATTAGATTGGGCTTTAATCCAACTTGACTGGTGTTCTTAAGAGGAAATCTGAACACATAAAGAGACATGAGGGATACGGGCAGAGGAAAGGCCATGTGAGGACATGGCAAGTAGGTGCCCATGCCCAAGCTGAGGAGAGAGGCCTCAGGAGAAAACAAACCTGCCACACCTTGGTTTTGGCCTTCCAGCCTCCAGATCTATGACAAACAAGTCTCTGTTGTTTAAGCGGTTTAGTCTGTGGTACTTTGTTACAGCAGCCCTAGGAAACGAATACACACACTGCATCGATTCTGCACTGGCTGTCATTTTGCTGTAATTACTCTATCTTATATCTGTTTATCTATTCATCTTTTTTATTGATGGATTTCAAGTGAGTTGCTGATTTGTCACCCTCTTTGCAGAATTGAATAGGGAAGGTAAACCCATGTTTGATCGATGACCACCAGCATACCTGATTGAACCCTCTCTGTAAGTTCGGATAATCAGTGATTATTTACTCTTGGGAGTTTACAACCAAGAAACAGAAACCCAGAGATGAACAGTCATTGGGTTTGATTAGAAAGACGTGATTCTGGGTGTTGATAAGTGACTCCAACCTTAGCTGGCTAAGGCAACACCTCTGGCTTCTTTGGGTGCTATTTCTTCTGAGGTTTCCTGCTCATTCTCTGTAGGTGATGGTGGTGGAGGAAGGTCTCCACTGTGTGCTGGTAACTGAATTTCCAGAAGTTTCTGGAGTCAGAATCCAGATTCAATACTGGCCTACTGCCTTCTGGTTGCATGTGACCTCGGGTGCATCTCCCTTAGCTTTATCTGAAAACGAGGATGATAGTACTAATATATACCTTGTGGGGTTGTTGTGGGGATCAAAGAAAGATTAGTGGGGCACATCATGGAATGTCTCCCATGTTGGCACCTCACTGCTGGGTTAGGGCAATGCTATCTGCTATAACAGGTAAGCATTTTAGTGGCTTATCTGAATCAAAATTTTTTTTTTTGCTCACCTGACAGTCCAGTGTCCCTGGTCGGGGGCAGAGCACCTCCCTTCTGGCATTCAGGGATGCAGGCCCTTTCCATCCCGTAGCTCCACCTTCCCCCAGGGATTGAGTCTGTGCACCCAGGCAGAACCATTGGCAAGAATAATGACATGCCCCATCTCTCCATGCTGCAGGGGGCTGGGAAATGCAGCTACTTCACAAGGATCTCTCTGGCCTAGGGAAGAGGGAACACACATTTTGGAGGGAATATTAGCCTTCTCCACACAACCCAACTCAGAGGAGGTCCTCTGATGGGAAGTCAGTGGCTGGGGGTTAGTGGTGGAGACAGCCATCTAGCCTGGGAAACTTCCCCACTAGACCAGAGCAGTGAGGAAAGCAGGAAGGTTGGAAGTGGTTGAACCAGTGAGCCGTCTCCAAGGGGCAGGGTCAGATGACTGCAGAAGGGCACCTCCTCCTAGGGCTGTGTACAAGATTTCTTTGGAACTCTAACCCCAATTCTGTACTAGCTGTGTGGTCCAGATCAATTGATTTGACTTCTCCAAGAGTAATTTTCTCTGTAAATGGGGATAATCAGCTGTGAGAGTTAAATACAATAATGCCTGGGAAATACTGAGCCTGGATCATCGTCGCTTCATGATGTGGGTTTTGCCAAACAAGAGTCTGCAAGTATGCAGTGCAGGCAGTACTCCTTCCCTTCATCTCAGGGAACACGGTGCTAACAAGTCATGGCCCCCTTTCCTCAGAGTCCTTCTCAACACAGCATTCCAGGAAACCTGTACTAATCAGTGCAAGTTAGGCCGGGCATGGTGGCTCACACCTGTAATCTCAGCAGTTTGGGAGGCCGAAGTGGACAGACCACAGAAGGCCAGGAGTTCAGGACCATGGTGAGACCCTGTCTCTACTAAAAATATAAAAAACTTAGTCCGGCATGGTGGCATGTGCCTGTAATTCCAGCTACTCCAGAGGCTGAGGCACTAGAATCCCTTGAACCCAGGAAGTGGAGGTTGCAGTTAGCCAGGATCGTGCTGCTGCACTCCAGTCTGAATGACAGAGAGAGACTTTGAAAAAAAATGTATAGATTGGGAGCAGTGGCTCATGTCTGTAATCCCAGCACTTTGGGAGGCCGAGGTGGGTGGATCACAAGGTCAGGAGTTGGAGACCAGCCTGGCCAAATGGTGAAACCCTGTCTCTACTAAAAATACAAAAAATTAGCCAGGCATGGTGGTACATACCTGAAACCCCAGCTACTTGGGAGGCTGAGGCAAGAGAATCGCTTGGACCCAGAAGACAGAGGTTGCAGTGAGTGGAGATCACGCCATTGCACTCCAGCCTGGGCAACAGAGCAAGACTTGGGAAAAAAAAATATTAAAGTCTGGGCACAGTGGCTCATGTCTGTAATCCTAACACCTTGGGAGGCTGAGGCGGGTGGTTCACCTGAGGTCAGGAGTTCAAGAGTGGCCTAGCCAACATGGTGAAACCCCATCTCTACTAAGAATACAAAAAAATTAGCCAAGTGTGGTGGCAGGTCCCTGTAATCCCAGCAACCCAGGAAGCTGGGACAGGAGAATCGCTCAAACCCCAGAGGCAGAGGTTGCAATAATCCGAGATCACGTCATTGTACTCCAGCCTCGGCAACACGAGCAAAACTGCATCTCAAAAAAAAAAAAAAAAAATTAGTGCATGTTAGCAGATGACATGAAAACTCTTTGTTCCCAAGAGGTTGGTCTATTACAAGACTCTCCTGGGTAAGCAGGAGAGCCAATGGTTTCATTGGATCTGGAGGTGAAATTAAAGAAGAAATTATTCTGACACTGAACCCGGGAGGTGGAGGTTGCAATGAGCCAGGTAAGGAAGATTTTATCCAAGACTATTGCAATAGGTTTAAAAACTATCCTAATAGGAGGCAGAGTCAGCCTTAGCTCCATTACAACAAGGACAAATGGGGATTTATAACCAAGAAGCAGGTTGGGTAGGTCAGTGGATTAAAAATACGAAGAGAAGACATCAGGGTAGGGGGATTTTGGCTGAACCAACTTAACAGATTCTTGCTGAAGGCAGACCAGGATGATCAGTTTTCAAGGGAGGGTGATTCTCTCTAAGCTGACTTTTCAAGACTCTGGCTGTAACTGGACTCTGCAAGGATGGACACGGAAGCTCACGTTCAAGGCCTAGTCAAGAGGGCTCAGGGGAGCCTGACCAAAGCTTGGCTGAGGAGAGAATCGTTGTCAGTGGGAAGGTAGAACTTGGGTCCTCCTACCTATTTCTCTGCCCACCAAGGTTTTGGGATGGGACAGAAGACATGAAATGCTCTAGGGATGGTGGGACCCTTGGCACTGCCCCAAACAGTAGATGTCTTTGCCTCTGGGTCCCTGGGAAGGGAGTTATCTAAGCCTCACAGGCTCTCTGTGCAGTAGTGTGGGAGACACAGCAGGAGAACCATGCAAAGCAGACTCCACTTTGGCCCCATAGGCAGAGAACAGGCCTATGTATGGCAGCAGCAGGGACAGGAGCACCTGGAACAGCTCCCAGGGATGCCATATTCCAGAAGTGGTCTCTAGCCTGGCTGATAAATCCCAGAGCTGTAATTAAGACAAAATATTGTGACTGTGACACCTGCTGACAGCTGCAGGAAGGCCCCGGAAACTTGTATTGTGAATTAGATTTTGCAGGCAGCTCTGCTGTGGTGAGCTGGTGCCAGGCGAAGGCACCTGAGGGAACTTGAGGGCAAAGACTGCTCACCAAGTGGAAAGAGGGGAATTCCTCCACCCCTGTCCAGGAACCCTTGATGTCTCAGGCATCACAGACCCTGGTAGAGGCCAAAGCTGGAAAGGGCTTAGAGCTCATCTGGTCCAATGGCTTTCATTATACATCCAGAAAAATCCAGACCCACAGGGGAAATGAACTATCCTAGGTCACACAGTGAGTTACTGGCATGGCTAAAGACCAGGGCTCTTGGCTGGAGAGCAGTTAAAAGTAGTTGAGCATACATCCGGAAATTCGACTTAAATTCAATGGTGAGTGCTTGGAAAGACAGAGACAATGCCAGAGAATGAGACAAAGTTATAAACAGAGAGAGACAGAGGCAGAGAGGGTAAGACACACAGAAAAGAGAGTGGCAGAAGGAGAGAAACACAGAGAAGAGGCAGAAGATATTGGTGAGCCTGAACCATTAGGTTCAAAGAGAGATTCATATGCCTGCTGAGTGGGACAGGACCCCAGCAATCATCTACTCCAGCTACTTTTGTTTTTACAATAATGAAACAAAGTAAAGCTGAGTGGTTTACCTATGTCAACCTTTTTAGAAAAAGTTTGATGCCATGTGGTTAAAAAAAGTAAGCTGCTTTTGGTGTGAAAACTGGCAAAACTTTTGTCTCTGAAGGTTTGTGAAATGAAATTTGAAAAAGGAAGAGCTGCAAGAATATGACTCAGAATAGAGAAAGTCGGGGAAATGTGATGCAGATACTTCTGCAAGTCTCAGACCTTAGGACTGAGGACTCCCTGACCTTTCTGTTACTTTCTCTGAGGTCTTAGACCCAGTTTCTGAGAAGGACAAAGGGGAATTCCCCAGAGAAGGAGAACATCCTAAGCCTCACCTCCCACTCCTCCTATCTTGATACAGGAAATCTCTGCTTTCAAGTATCAGCTCCAATGCCACATCTTCCAGGAACCCTTCCTTGATATCTCACTTGGACCCTCTCCCTCTCAACTGTTACCCATTTCTTCCGTCTATAAATCCCTTCAGGCATCCCTACCCTATGTTAGCCACTCTTCTCTTTTACCTTATACAACAGTTATCCAAGAATATGTCGATAAAAGAGCCCTTATTCTGCGCCAGGAATTCCAAAAGCTATAGCTCTAATTCGACAACAAACCATCAAAGTCGGCTTTGCATGCCCACTTTGTAAGTAAGAAAACTTAGACTCCCAAAGAATGAATAACTTCCTCAAGGTCACACGGTTACTAAGTGGCAAAACAAGGACTTAAACCCAACTTGGATGACTCCAGGGCCAGTACTCTTCCTGTGACACTGAACAAGACATTCCAAGGGCGGGAACTGTGTCTAGTCATTGTGTCTTGCACAATTTGGTACTTGCTGTGTTTTGAATGAATAAAACAGTAAATGAATGAATGAACACAAGAAGTGTCCTTTCTTTCGAAGGCTGTAGTGCAGGGCTTGGCAAACTGCAGCCTGTAGGCCAAATCCAGCCTGCCTCCTATTTTTGTAAATAAACTTTTACAATACATGGCCACACTCATTCCTTTATGTACTGTCTATGGCTGCTTTCCTGTACAACGGCAAAGTGAGGTTGAACAGAGACCGTGTGACACACAAAGCCTAAATGTTTACTATAGGCCCTTTATAGAAAAAGTTTGCTGACTCCTGCTATGGCCTGTGGTCTTTACTAAGCTGATTAAAAGAATAGTGCTTATTGCTAAGTGGTATACTAATAAGCTTGTCTTTCAGAATCTAAAATATTGTGTGTGTCCATGCTTGTGCCCGGGGTGTGCCTATAAAATATCAGACAGATTTGAGCATGTAACTGGTATATGCCGCTTTACTATTTTATAGGCAGGCTTCATGAACCTGCCCACATACCCTTTGGAAATCTATATATTTTGTTTGTTTGCTTGTGGTTTTGTTGTTGTTTAGTTAAGTTTAGCTTTGTCAGCAACACTTTGGCCCAGACCAGATGATAGCTGGGACCCCTGGCCATGAAGGTGTTCCCTGAAGCAGAGGAGGGCAGGTTCCCCTTGGACAGTCTCTGTTGGGGGTTGACTTTGAGGCTTACCAGAGCAGTATTGACAAGGCGGTTTTTGAGCCAAATAAAAAGCACCCTGTGTGACTGATTGCACTCCATTTCCTCTTGGTTTGCAGGGGGATAAGTATCCCTGGGCTCCCAACCTCATGTCCTCCCCTGGCCTGAAGGCACTCTTGTCCTCTAAGCCTCCCCTAGAGCAGTGTTTGGCCAGCTAGAGCAGGGCTGCTTACCCATTGCTGCTCCCGAGAGCTCAGGACTGGCCCCAGACCCCTGGCATCTGGGGCAGAAGCAACATCAAAGCAGGGATTGGCCAACTCCCACTCCTAATGCCAAACAGGCCAGGCACTGAGAGCTCTCGGAGGCGTGACGAATCTCAGCCTGTCTCCAGCTAGTGTTCCCTGGCCAGTCCGTTTTGGGCCTTGCCTCACAATGACGGGCTCATCATTCAGCCTCGCTCATCTGCTCATCATTTCAGGACTGCTCTGTTACTCAGCGGGCTGCTTGGGTGAGTGTGTGTGTGTGTGTGTGTGTGTGTGTGTGTTGCATGTGCGCACGCGTGCACGCATTGTTTTGGAAAAAAGGCTCTTGGAAAGCAGACTGTACTAGGAGGTTTTGGGAGCCTTTAAATTTGTTTTCTTGACTTTTTTTTTTTCTTTCACAGGACAGTCTCTCAGTGTGAAAGTCTTTAAATTTAAACTTCTCAGCCAGTTTTGAAATTGCAATGCAAAGGGGTTTCACAGTAGAGTTGGTGGGGACCTGGCATACATACTTACGAGTGTGTGCACTTGTCTGTGTCCCTCTTGTGTCCTTGACTTCAGGCTGGCTGGCTGGCAGTTGCTACCTTGGCTTTGAAGTAAAATCATGTTCTGTGGTCCGGGCACCCGCTGGCATTGGGTGGCTGAGACACTCTCCATCACTCTTGAGTGGACTGCCTTGGGTAATTTGGCTCAGAGGCACAGCCGCCAAGCCACCAATTGTTCTTTGTAGGTTGTATCCTTGCCTGTTCGCAGACATACAGCAGAAGTCAAACTCCAGCATGGTCTTTCAGAGAAGTTCAAATTACCTGCAACTTTTAGGATCAGAGTTTGTTTTTCAAGGTTTGTTGTGGGGATCAAAGGAAAGTTGCAGGGTGCAGCCTTCTATGGAACATGTGACTCAGGGGAAATTTTGGGCAAATTTCATTCAGTTAACGTAAGAACTTTATTGTAGCTGAGACCCAACTCACTGCAGTAAAGTCAAAGCAGTCGGAGATGTCATACAGAGTGTGCCTTTGGCCTTCTCTCTTCTCTTGGGTTGCTTTCTCATGTAAGTTCCCACAGTCAGGGAAAGGCCCCAAAGGAAGTAAAAAGCTGACTAGTCTACCAACTAGACAGCCGGGTGCATAACAGTTATATGGCTGCACTTGTAATTCTCCCAAACTGCTGAGGCAGGATGCTTATGTCACTTCTTTCCTTTGGCAGCATCTCATGACACATTTGTTGCATTGAGGGGTTGGGGAGGGGAGGCTACTTGATGCAAAGAGAGAAGGCAGAAATGGAAAAGGCTGTTTCTAGTAACCTGTTGTGGGGCTGGTCTTGCAAGAGGAGAGATGAAGAGGGACACGGTGGTGGTCCTGGTGTCATACTTATTTTAAAAAGGGACTAAAGGAGGCCAGGTGCAGTGGCTCATACCTGTAATCCCAGCACTTTGGGAAGCTGAGGCAGGTGGATCACCTGAGGTTAGGAGTTCAAGACCAGCCTGGCCAACATGACAAAACCCATCTCTCCTAAAAATATAAATATTAGCTGGGTGTGGTGGCACACACCTGTAATCCCAGCTACTCAGGAGGCTGAGGCAGGAGAATGGCTTGAACCTAGGAGGCAGAGGTTGCAGTAGGCCAAGAATGCACCATTGCACTCCAGCCTGGGCAACAGAGACTTCATCTCAAAAACCAAACAAACAAAAGACTAAAGGATTTGGGGGATGATTTGGGCAAAACTCCTTGTGGTACAGATGAGGAAATTAAGTTTCAGATTGAGTGAGTTGCACTGGCTCACATGGCCACTTGCACCCGGACTTAACACTCTGATTCCAGTCCATGTCTTTCCAAGAGTAAATCGGAGAGAATCACTTTCCAAAGATGTGCCTCAGTTTCTTGAAATGAAACAGGAGAAAGTCTTCTTTTCAAGAATGGGTATTGAGTCCAAAGGGCAAAATCAGCATTATCAACAACAAAAGCCCCAAACACTTGCCCAAAGCCTGCATTAAAGAATTACCCACAATTTGGCAATGCACTGGCCACATACAACATGACCTTGATGTCTTTAAGTTGGGGCATGAGGTCCTGAAGTTCCGTGATGACTGGCATTTCCAAGGCAGCTGCCTGGGGCTGAGCCACTCGCTGTACCCAGGTTTCTGCAGGCTCCACGGAGATACTCACAGGATTGCTTTCAATACAACAGAGCCTTCCGGGGCTTTTCCAGACTGAAGCCTGAGCTCAGACATGATTCTACAGAGAAGGTCCATGAGAGATACCCACAGGCCACTCAGATGACACCAAAATAGACATGTGAAGTCCTGGCTTAGTTGATTGGGAAGGACGGGGAGGGGGAAGCTGCTCCCAAACACGTCCAGCTGATGGAAATATTCTGAGCTGGAAGGAGCTGTAAATAAACTAGGCTGCTAAAAACAAACAGCTCCAGGGAGTGGGGGAAGGGCAGAAATAGATAGCCTTCCCCTGCTGGGAAGAAAGTGGGTCAAGGGGGAAAGGGCGAAGGGAATGGGGTGGGGTGGGGGGGCGGAACTATGCAGAGCCCTCAGCCGGAAATGCAGCTGATAATTTGTGGTCACTGAGGAAGCCTCCAGTTTCCAGGAAGAAAGGAGAGAAGTGATGCTTTAAATGATACAAGGTTCTTCATCAGTGGAAGGCCACACAGGGTGCTGGGTGCAGGAAGGGACTGGAGGCCATATATGGTCTGGAAAAATAATGGTGATGAGTGCACATTAGCCATGTGGGCCTGCCAGCCTCCCAGGTGCTTTTGGAACACTGCAGCCTCAGCCCTGAGGCAAAAGAGAAGCAAAGGAGGAACTGCAGCCAGGGGACCTTAAAAAGGTTCCAGGATTGGTTCGAGCCTGCCGGCCTCCACCACCCGACAACGGAAGCTGCCCACTCCTAGCGACTTTACACTCTAGGAAACTTGGAGACAAGAGGAATACAGTGGCATTAATGTCAAGTTCTGGAACAATGTAGCCAGATTATTTTACCACCGAGAAAAGAAAAGTAGCCTATGACAGCTGGAGCTGCTGGACACACAGAGCTCGGCATGGTGTTCTCCTGCCACAAAGAAGCGATGTCACAGAACACCAACATCAGACAGGGGCACCTTGTGACCTTGATGGATCGAGACAAAAGTAAATCACTCTATAAGCACAACCAAACAGACGAAAACAGGACTATCATCCAACCACAAAAATAACTGAACATTCTCCTATCCTTGGTAATATGAGTGACTGCTGCTTTTTAAAAGGCCAATCACAGCTGTAGGCTGCTCCCCTCTCTTCTTCTAGATATGAATTAAGATACTCAATTATGGAATGGCCCTTTCTTCCTGATGGCGTCGAATCCAGAGTGAAGCCAGACTTTGCTTCCTCAGAGTCTCCCCTCAATCACCTAGCAAAAGCCCCAACCCTTTCAGCTGGAAAAGAATCAGTCCTTTCCTGCACCCTCTAACTGAGATGCCCAATGGTTCCTTCTGGCGTGTGTTCTCCCTCTTTGCAGTGAGTCAACAAACCCAGGTCGGTTCCCTGTGGCCTTTGCTTGGAGGGCATTGATACTATAGCCCCAAGTTGTTGTTATGGGACTTGTAGTTCCAGACCTTCATTCTACTGCATGCAGTCATGGTGGAGAGTTTAAGAGGAAGGGATCTGGCACCAGACTGCATGACTCTGTCACTTACTAGCTATATAGCTTTGGACTAATTGCTTAACCTCTTTGCCTCAGTCAATGGATCTGGAAAATGGAGATGATGATAAGAGTGGTACCTAGCTTCTAAGGTTGCCGTGAGGATTAGGTGAATATCTACGTCTGAATCACTTAAATGGTGCATTGCATGTGGTATTTGTCATTATTCATTCAGCAAACATTTGTGGAATGATTGGTGTATGCCAGATACAGTGCTAGACTCTGGGGATAAAAGCTGGCTCCTGCCCTCAAAGCACAGTCTGGTCAGAGAGATACAAGGAAAATTTTTCCCATGGAGAAAACCTAACAGAGGGGTAAACCCAGAGAAAAACATAACAGGGACACTCAATCTTGGCCTGGGAAGTCAAGGAAAGCTTCCTGGTGGAGGTGGCACCTGAACACTTCTTGATGGGCTGCTTATGGGAGGGCAGGGACTGGGGTATAAACAGAAGGCCTCTAAGCTCTGCAAGCCTTTCCAGCTACAGACACCATTTAGGTAATTTCTGCTTCCCACAAAGCCTGGCCCTGTACTGGCAAAGAGTGTGCTCAAATGAATAAATGTCTAACACCAAGTTAGCAGCGTTCCCTATACACTAGTGCCTGCTGTGACTTTTCTGTCTCAAACTGTGACCACTGTTGCCCCGGGTTCCCTGCAACTTCAAAACCACCCTTGATTCTCCCTGCTCTTTTTTTGCTACAGCACGTTGGCCCCCAGTTTCTCTGCATTGGTAGCCCCCTTCCTGTCCCATGCCCTGCTGCATGCTCCCATCCTCTAAGCCTGTCCTCCCCACACCTGCACTTCCCTGCACACGTGTTCTCCAGCACCATTTTGATCCTGTCTTTCCTTTACCCTCCACCTGCCGTGGCTTCCTACAACTTTCTGATTAAAGCTTAAATGGCACAATCTAGCCCCAAATTAACTTTCTAGCTTTCCCTACAGCCTGACCCCACCACCCACTGTTCCTTTGAGAGCCTCCTCTTCATTAGGCCACGAGCTTGAAGTGTCTTGGCTCTGTGCTGTGTTTAACTTTTTTTTTTTTTGAGGTGGAGTTTGGCTCTTGCCCAGGCTAGAGTGTAATGGCACGACAGCTCACTGCAACCTCTGCCTCCCGAGTTAGAGCGATTCTCCTGTCTCAGCGTCCTGAGTAGCTGGAATTACAGGCACGCGCCACCACACCCAGCAAATTTTGGTATTTTTAGTAGAGACAGTGTTTCACCATTTGGCCAGGCTGGTCTCGAACTCCTGATCCCAGCTTCCGTTGTTGGGTGGTGGAGGCCAGCAGGCTTGCACCAATCCTGGAACCTTTTTAAGGTCCCCTGGCTGCAGTTCCTCCTTTGCTTCTCCTTTGCCTCAGGGCTGAGGCTGCAGTGTTCCAAAAGCAAGTGGGAGGCCGACAGGCCCACATGGCTAATGTGCACTCATCACCATTATTTTTCCAGACCATATATGGCCTCCAGTCCCTTCCTTCACCCAGCACCTTGTGTAGCCTCGGTCCCGCAAAGTGCTGGGATTACAGGCATGAGCCACCACACCCAGCCGGTTTGACATACTGAGTTCCTTTTCTGCCTTACCTTCTTCAGGAGAAACTCCTCCCACAGCCATTGTTGAGCTGGTGACAGACCCTGAGATCCTGCTAAAGACTGGGTCTGAGCCCAGTCCAGGACAGGCTCTGCTCAGCCACCCCCGTGGCCTGTCACCTGGCTGCACACGTGTTCTCCAGCACCATTTTGATCCTGTCCTTCCTTTATAGGAAACAAGTTTCCTATGGTGGATGTTTGAACTAAGACCCTCAAGGGGATGTTCCAGACAAAACAGATGGGGGAGGTAAAGAGGTGAGGCAAGACTGGGTCAGCCGTCATGGGGAGATGGGTGTGCAGACACCAGAGTAGATGGAATGGGTCAGGTGCACAGAAAGAAGCACGAAAGGAGAGATGGGGACAGCAGACCGGGGAAGGTGAGAGAAATACCAGGACAGTGTCATATCCCATTGACGCGTTGGTTCCAGCTCTTTCTGTCATTTTCAACTTTACAATAAATCTCCTTTTTCCCCAGATCCCCTGTGAGTGGTATTTGTCATTATTCATTCTGTTTCTCACAATCCAAGTAGCCCTGAATGGAACAGTCTCTCTCCTGCCATTCCTCCTGTTCCTTGGGGAGCCTCCCCTCCTCCCATCACCTGCCTCTCCAGCTGGCCCTTGCCCTTCAAGGCCTAGCTCAAGTACCCGTGACTTCCCCAGATGTTTTCATGGACTGGAAGACTTCTTATCTGAATTCTCCTTGGTCTTCCAGAATTAGCAGGAATGCCATCTTTCTCAAAAGATGGCCAGGTCCAACCCAGCTGATGGCCACCTGTTGTTCCTGTTTTTCTGAACTCCTTCAGTCCCTTGTTAACTTGTACAACTTGGAGTGGATGCTGCTTTGGTGTTAGATGCTGGGTCCTATGGAACTTTTTGTGAGCAAGCTAGGCACCAAGCATTGGATGGCCAACAGTTTTCACTGGGGTCATTTTGGAAATTTTCAGGATATTTTTGGTTGTTTCAAAGGCTGGGATGGGTAGCACCACTCTCTTTGTTGAGCCGGGTCAGCAGTAAGAGCTATCTTGCAAAGGGTGGGACAGAATTGTCCCACATCCTACATGATTTTGAAATGTCCCAAGGAACATTTAAACCTATATATAATTATCTCATTCTAGAACCAGATTCTCTTTTATGCAACATTTTTAAAGCACTGTTTTAATATAAATTGAGTTTTCTAAGACTACAGTTACAGAGTAATGGTTGTGCTTTGTCTAGTCAGGATTTTTACCCAGCGTTGTTTATTATTTCAGAAAATCACATCACATGGTGGACACATCCCTTGTAGCATGTGAGTTGCCAATACCATCATCTGTATTTGAGCTGTTGCATTCAGCATGATTTCATATAAGTGCGAGCATCTAACTACAGCATTATGTATTCTAATATGGTTGCGTCTGACCAGTTATACTCAAAACGTTTACTTTTATATGATAAATCACTTGCTTATATTTCTCTTTTACATAGCATTCAGAGCATGATATTGATTTTTCAAATCATGTATCAGCGTCCTGTATTATTTATGAATTTCATTTCTGGATATACAGGTGTCTTTACAAAATATTTCTCACAAAAGGTGGCATTCAGCCTGAGAAGGCTGAGGGCCTTTGGCACAGGCCAGTAGAATGCACCATCATCAAGGATGCGAGGGACGGTGTGTGCACGGAGCCAGCATTCCTGTGGACACCGCACGACCTGGCAACTTCTGGGAAGCACTTGGCACTTGCCTAGTGTCTGAGGCAGGTCCTGGAGCACAAGGTGGAGATAGCTGACAGATGCTGGCCCCTGGGAGATAAGACAGAAAATTGGGATCAGGGCCGAGAGCATGTGCGTTCTGTGAGGTCAGAGGCATCGTGAAGGGGTGGAAGTGAAGGTACCATCACGACACCAAAACTGAGAACTGGAAAACCATAGCTTTGGGTGATTATGGATTTTGCTGCTATGAACATTTTAGTACATGCATTTTGGTGAAAATACACCCACTTTTCTATTGGTAAATACCTACGAGTGAAATTGCTGGGCTAGAGTGTATGTCTAGGTTCAGTGGTAATAGAAGATAACAAGCAATTTTTCAAAGAGGTTGCATCAGTTTACATTCTGGCAGCTGATGTGTGATAGTTGTGGTTGTTCCACATCCTTGCCACATTTTGTATATTCTGTCATTTTCATGTTAGCCATTCTGGTGGGTGTGTAGTGGTATCGACCCAATGAACGTCAGCAATGTTCAGCAGAATGGATGAGTAGGTTGTGATACAGTCACTCAGTGGGACTCTATTCAGCAGTGACAGCGATGAGCAACAACCTAGATGATTCCCGCAGACGCTACATTAAGAGAGAAGCCAAAGACAAGAGTTCATATTGTATGATTCCATTTACATAAAATTCAAAATTAGCCAGAATGAATCTCTAGTGTTAGAATTCAGGATGAAAAGGGGTGAAGAGATTTGAGCTTGAAGGGGCTTCTGGGTGCTGGAGAATGCTGTTTCTTGACTTGGGTGCTAGTTTCTAGGATATGTTCACCTTATGGAGATCTATTGGGCCGTAACTTACGGCCCAAGATCTGTGTACTTTTGTAAGGCACACTTCGACACTGAACACTTGCTAACATTGAACATGGGCAAGACTCTTAGTGAAAATAAAGCTTCAAAGGCCCAGGGCCCTTCATTTCCTAACACTGCGGATTAGGCTGCCCATATATTGAGACATTAAACCGTCACTCTGTAGTGAAATGGGTGACACGCGAATGTGTTTGTAAAGTCTAGAATCAATATGTGTGTTTAAATCGTGGATCTGGGTGTCCTGTAAGTGATGCTGCCTCCAGCCCTGCCTGCCTCCCTGTCTAAACAATGTCTTTCTGAGTACAATAGTAAAGTTATTAGCAAGCACTTTTTTCTCCTCAGCTACTGGGTGCATAGGATGAGTCTGTTTGAACTTTGCATTTCCTGCTACATCTAGAAAGTGACAAGTCAGTGTCTGAGGAAGGAGAAATGAACCTTCTAATGGTCACAGTGTCCAAACAAGTAATCTCCCTGTTTGTGAACCATCTTAATCCAGCAACGGCAAGGGCAAGGATGTAATTGCTATGTCAAGTAGCAAACAGGAGTTCTACCTGCATCTAACAGGCTAGATTTAGATTTGGAAGTATGGGGTGGCAGGATGTGTCTTCCCTGGGTATAGTGGGTGTGACAAAGGCCCCAGCACTGACTACACACTAATGAGCAGCAGTTTTCTCTGAACAGCTCTTCCTGGCCTGGATCAGAAGAAGCGTGCTGGCCACAAAGCATGCTGCCTGCTGACACCCCCTCCACCACCATTGTTCCCACCACCATTCTTCAGAGGTGGCCGCAGTCCGGTGAGTAGTTTGGGATTTATGAGAGAAAAAAAGGGCAGGCTACTTAGTGCCCAGCCCACAGCCCCGCCTGCCTGCCCCACTCAACCTGCGCTGCCTCCAGAATCATTTCTGAGAGCCTCGAGCCTCCACCCTCCACTCTCACCCAGAGGCTGAGACCTGGAATGGACATTTTGCAGTTTCTGGGGTGTGTCCATTCTCCAATTATCTTACATAAATGATGGGAGATTCTTCTCAGCAGGAATTGGATTGGGCAAAGTTTCTCATCTCATAAACAATGAGGTGAATTTAATAATATAACTTTCTGGGTTCCCATCAGCTGCTCAAATATGGAATTTCCCCTTCTGTTTTTCTTCTCCCCAAGTGTTTATGAAATTCCCTTCTATAGCCCGTGCCTAACATAGACCATTTCCATGAGGTGACTCAGGAAATAGTCCTCCTGTAGCCACACTGAGGTGTGAGAGGGAGCAGAATTTGGAAAGAAAGGACCAGGTGAGGAAAAGAGCAAGATTCGGGAAACTGGCCTAGAAGACAACAGCCGGGCATTCTAGGGACGTGGGATTCTCAGCTTCTTCCCACGCTCGTTCTCCTGGGCTGTCCAGTTCAGGACTTACTAGCCATATGCAGCACTCTGGCACTTGCAATGTGGCTAGTTCAAGATGAGATGTGCTGTAAATGTAAAATGCATACTGGATTTTGAAGAATTAGTATGAAAAAAGAATGTAAACCATCTCAGTAGTTAACTTTCCAATATTGAATTATGTTAAATGATAATATTTGGGTTTTGTTGGGTTAAAGAAAGTATATTGTTAAAATTAATTTCGTTTTTTTTCTTTTTACCTTCTTAAAAGGTAGAAATGTGACTACTAGACAATTTAAAATTACAATGTTGCTCTTATCAGTGGCTCATGTTAGTTATGTTTCCATTGGACAGTGCTAACCTAGACATTGGATAGAGGCCCCTGAAATGAGCTTCCTAACTCTATCTAAAGTAGCTGCAAGGTGTCTGCAAGAATCCATATATGCCAGGTTTGCCTCAAGAGCAGATGAGAGAACAGAAGCTGGTGGCCCAAGATGTCATCTTCTTGGGGCAGTCATTGGGGTGTCAGGGAATTGCCAGGCTTAGAGACCTGACCCCGGAGCAGGTCTGTGTCCAGGATCATGACCCTTCCTCTGTCTCTGACCCCTGACCTCTAACTCTGTGTTGCTTTGTATTGAAGCTTCTCTCCCCAGACATGAAGAATCTCATCCTGGAACTGGAGACCTCGCAGTCTCCGTGCATGCAAGGCTCACTAGGCTCCCCTGGACCTCCCGGCCCCCAGGTTGGTGCACTCTACCGGTCCCCTCTCGCTGTCTTCCGTTTAGAGCAGGAAAGCCCACTGCACAAAGCTTCTTAGTGTCTGCCCCTTCTCATGTGATGCAAAACTGTTTTTCCTTCTCTTGTTTACTTCCTGTTCCAAAGCCACGTGGATAGAACACTGGCTCTTTGCTGGGTGAATTCTGGCCTCCCAGTCTTGATTTCCTCATCTATGCAATGGGGATAATAATTGTCCCTACGATACTAGGTTTTGGGGGAATCAAATAAGGATGCTGCCTCTATGGATGTGGTTTTTATTATAGTTACAATCAGACAAACAGTTGATGGCAGTGCCCCTTATGGAACCATTGACCCCACCTGTGGACCCAGAGGTGCCTGTGCTCAGCACAGGAAAGTGGAGGCACAGAGGAGCTTGTTTCCTGCCTCACTGGGCCCCCAAGCAGCCCACCCCTTCCCATCAAAGCTACGGGGGAGAGTGATGAACAGGCAAAATTCTGGAGAAAAGATTCCTAGACAAACAAGAGTACCTTTCAGAGACCCCACCCCACAGACTCCTGGCCCCTTTGGCCTGCCTCCAAGAGGGTGCTCCATTGGTGAGGGACAGTTGGGCCTGGGCCTTCCACAGGGAAAAAGAGGGTGCAGGGAGCAGTTAGTTCCCCAGGTGCCTTCCCATGCAGGGGGTGTAGAAATGATATCACCCACCTGGTTAAACTCTCCTATGGCTTCTGGACACTTGAAGGTTCACCTGGATGGCAAAGCCCCACAGGAGGGGACTCTGGCCTGTGTCTTCTACAGCATCTCACACCACTTATTGTCCCCTTGACTCAGCCACAGTGACCATCTCTTGGGTCCTCAGACACTCCAAGCTTGCTTCAGCCATAGGGCCTTTGTACTTGCGGTTCCTGCTGTTTGGAATGTTCGTCTTTCTGGCTTCTATCATGTCCAGCTCCTTGTAGCCACTCAGGACTCAGTTTCCATGCCACCTCCTTAGACATGCCTTCCACCAGCCACTCAACCACTGAGTCTAAAGTAGCCTTCTGCCTGCACCCACCACCAGTCACTCTCTGCCACAATGACCTATTTTAATTCTATGCATGATTTTCTCATCCTGTTACAGTTTGCTTATTTGTTTTTCTGTTCCTGGTCTCCCCTCTGTAAAACATAAGCTCAATGGCAGGGGTTGGCAAACTCTACCTCTGGATCAAATCCTGCAACAAAGTTTCAAAAAACGTTGAAGTTTTATTGTCTGTGGCTGCTTTGAAGGACAAAGGCAGAGTTGAGTAGTTGTGACAGAGACCAAATGTGGCCCACAAATCCTAAGATATTAACGATGTAGATTTCTAAAGAAAGCATGTATCAAGCCTTGGTCTATGGGAACAGACACTGTCCATCTCTCTCACTATTATATTCCGCGTCTACAACTGTGCACGGGGTTGGGATAGGTTCTCCATAATTACTTTGAATGCAGGAAAGAAAACAGGACTTTGAACCCAGAGTTGGCCAGAGGCTGCCATGGAGAAGCTGGGAAGCCTGCAGAAAAACAAGATGAGAATCCTTGGAGGGGCATTTCTATCTTCCCATCTTCAGCAGTCTACTCTAATAGGTCTCAGGCATGTGAGAACCCATGGACCATAGAAAAGAAAAGGGGGATTTTCTGCTGACCTCAGAACAGCAGCTCTCTGGTCACACACATCTCTAACCTTGTGCAGTCCCCTCTGAAGCACGTGGAGGCTGTGTTGCCCAGCTGCAGGGTCCTGTGTAGCCAGAACACAGTGTGGATGCTGCCCCTACTCAAAGTGAGGTCCGTGAACCAGCAACATTGGCATCATGTGGGAGCTGGTTAGAAATGCAGAGTCTCATCCCCCTGACAAATTCATTCCAACAGAATCTGCATTCTAACAAGATACCACCCCTCCAACAAGTGAATGGAGTGAGTCATCCTCACATTAAAGTTTGAGAGGCACTGAGATGGAGCACAGTGACCTTGTGAAATAGTTCTAGTCCACTTCAAGAAACAGAAAGAACTAAGGCTTGGAAGAATCAAGAGAATGGAATGAGCCCCCACCCTCCCCCCCACACCACCACCCTGCTTCCCCATCCAAAAATAGAAGGTAAATAAACCAAAGAGAGTGGTTTTCAAACTTATCTGCACATTACAGTTCCCTGGGGGAGCTTCAGAAATTACTGATGCTTATTCCTCCTCACCTGAAATTGCTATTTATTATTATTATTGTTAGAGAGAGGGTCTCACTGTGCCACCTAGGTTTGAGTGCAGTGGCTTGATCACAGCTAACTGCAGCCTCCAAGTGAACCTCCTACCCCAGCCTCCCAAGTAGCTGGGACCACAGGTGCATGTGCTACCATACCTGGCTAATTTCTTAATATTTTGTGGAGACAGGGTCTCACCATGTTGACCCAGTTAGTGTCGAACTCCTGGGCTCAAGCAATCCTTCCACGGCCTCCCAAAACACTGAAATTACAGGCATGAGCCACCCCACCCAGCCTAAGGTTGTTATTTAATTGGGCTGGAATAGGGCCTGGGTTGTGGGACTTTTCAAACATCTCCAGGGACTTCTAATGTGCTGATAGACTTGGGAACCACTGGCTGAGGGGAGCTGTTTGTCATTTGGACAAGTTTTATAGAAATCATATTTCAAACAGGCTTTGCATTTTGCTTGTTCACCTGCAGATCCTGGGAGTGCAGTGGGGGCCTGGGGAATTTTGATGAATTTCCTTTCTGCTATTTTGGAGCATTTGGAAACAGCTGACTGAGCATTTTGCAGACACATTCTGGCTGTGGATGTGCAAAGCTTTGATGCAGTGAGTTGTAGAGTCCCTGAGCTGGAGTCAGCTCCTCTCCAATGGGATGATAATGCGCTATTTATTTGCCCACATTCTTAGTGCCTTAAAAAGAAGAATTTTTCCTGCTGAAGAAAGGAAAATTACTATTTGGCACCTAGTACCCACAGATTGACCATGGGAATTCCCAAGGTGGCAGCTGCTGCTGTGTGCAAAACTTAACTTGTCTCTTGTCAAGCCCCCAGGAAAGTTTGGCAAGTTACTGAAAAGATATGAGAGGTGATGAAGCCTCTTGTTTTCAACAAATGACATTGATTCAAGACTCTTTGGTTACTCTCAACAAACACTTGGGATGTTTTAGGCAAACAAAGAGTTACAGAGAAAAAAATTAAAACCACAGAGAGTAGATATGTAAGAATTGCAACCATGGAGCCACTGGAAACACAGCTCAGAGAAAGCTAGGAGGAAGAACAGAGGAGGGGACTGGGGCTGGAGGGCACAGGAAGAGCCATGGGACCCTGTAGCCCTACATCTGCCCAGAGAATGAGGCTGCTGCTATAGGAGCCCGGTGTACCAAACGCCTCCTTATCCATTAGGCTCTGGACTGATATGTCTTTTCTTCACTTTTTATCTTGATTGATTAGGGTCCACCGGGGCTTCCTGGCAAGACAGGACCAAAGGGAGAAAAGGTATGAACCACTACTTTCTTCAGCCCTTCTTTCCCTGTTTTCTGGGGGTGCCACTGCGAATTTCCTAGTTGAGATTTTCAAACATGTGCTACCTCTGCCTTGGTGTGAGAGGATGAGCTCCATGGTGGCTAGCTGCTGCAGCAGGTATGGAATACCACTGGTATATTTTGATGTAGCCCACTGACATGCAGTGGGGCTTTGAGAAGCAGCCAAGCAACTGAGCCACATCGCCATGCCCAGTCATCAGGTCTACTTAGCCTTCTGCTTCCAGAACGTGTCTTCCAAAGCAGCCTCTCCTCACCTGTCTTCTCCATCCATAGGGGGAGCTTGGCCGACCAGGAAGGAAGGTATGGTCTGCGCTGTTCTGTGAGTGTCACATGGGGCATCTGTGCTCCATATGCATGTGTGTGCGTGTGCTCCTAGGGATGGGGACCAACAATGCACTTCAATGGCTACTAATACCCAGGTGGACAGTGATGGTGCTACTGTCTCGATGGTAACAGTAGTAACCTTGCCCTTTCTGCCAGCTTCTTTGGTTAGGAGCAGGAGCCTGCTACTGCCAGGCATTCAGACTTCCTCCAGGGGCTGCCAAGCCTGGCCAGGTTCCACCCCCTCACTTCCTGCCCCCACCTCAGACCATATCGTTCTGCTACCCATCAGAGAAATCCTCCATAGCTCCAACCAGTGACACAGAATGACTCTCATTGTCTGTTTGATTAAATTGGAATAAAGTGCCAGAGCAGACAGAAACAAATGGCTTTTGCTTTTTGGCTCAGCTGAAATAAATGGAGGTTACTTAAGGTCACAGTGGCTCTGAGTGAACCAAACACATGTTATCAAGGCTCTCATTAGTGTCAAGAGGGAGTAAATCAGAAAGCTATTATATTTATTTGCTGAAGTCAGTGGATACTGGCACTGAATTTCTAGATCTTGGTTATAGACAGGGGTGCAAAACTTTGGCCAAGAAAGATGTCCCTGGCTCTAAATATAAATTACTGTATTTCTTGTTAAATAGTTCATTAAATGGTTTCATTGTCAACAAGATCCTGAAACAGACCTTTGAAAAACAAACTTACGACTCTTTAGGGCACAGATGAAAACTATAGCGAAGCACAGCGGCTGTCTGAAGTGTTGGGGTGGTCTCCATGCAGTGGTCAAAGGATATTCTGCTGTGATCTCCATGCTCAGACTTTACAAGGACCATGATTGATTAGTGATGTCTGCCATGGATGTGAGAGGCCAGAGTAGAAACCAGTATACATGCCAGGACTTGGCATATCTGGTTTAGGGGCTGAGCCCTTCACATCTCTAACTAACTGTGAAATTAGCTAATGGGTACAAGGTCAAGATTGGCCCTTAGCACCTGCACCCACTATCTCTCACAGGGCTTGATCTTCCATAGCCCTGGCTCAGGCAGAGACAGAGGTGACAGGTACCATGTGCAAGTGAATACATTATTATGGGGCCACTCTCAGGAGGAGCCTGTAGGGGGAGTGCTAGAAACCAAGCAAGGGTGTGGTATCAGGTGAAGTACAGCTTTAGCAGTTTGATCCCTAAGGAGAGCTTGAGAGTACCAACTGCCCAAAGGTAAGGAACCTGGTCTATTGGCTGCAGGAAGGGGAGTTACATAAATTACTGGGCAGTTCCAATTGCTCAAGGGCAAACCGCAGTTATAGGTTGCAGGAATGAGCTGTTAGCAGCAAGGAAAGTAGCCTCTGGGCAATGGGCAATCTGAGCAAGTAAAAAAGACCTTGAAAGAGTGCCAACAGCATCTGCTGTTGCTCCCCAAATGTCATCCTGTCTCATAGCATAGCATGTCCTTGGGAAGAACCCATTGGAACACAGGGGATTTGGGGGTGGGGTGGGTAGAATGATAAAAACTGAAAAACCAAGAAGTTTAGAATCCCTTTCTCACCACCCTCCATTTCTTGAGAAGAATAAGGTCTCATTTGGTAACACAGTGTGCCAAAACATATTTACTGGAAGTAAAGAAACAAGCCCAGTTGCCCTGACTTTTGTTCTTGGTCTTTGAAGGGTAGACCTGGCCCCCCAGGTGTTCCTGGCATGCCTGGGCCCATCGGTTGGCCAGGCCCTGAAGGACCTAGGGTAAGTGTGGCATGCTCTCAGGGCTCATGTGGTGTCAAAACAAGTGGGGGGAAGATGGCAGCTTTCCTGGCTTCTGGCACATAGTCAGGGAATCACTTTCTCAAGATGGGGAAGAGAAGCGAGCTCAAGGACTGGCCACAAGGCCGGACACTTCCTCCTTCACTTGGCCTGCAAGACCTTGGTCAGTGCAACAGCTCTGCTCCTATGGGAGGAGAAATAGGGGGCTGCTCCCCTCTTTTACAGGGGCCCTGGTTCTCCTTTATCCTGAGAACTAGCACCCCATTTTGGTTTCCCTGAGATGACTATGATCCCTGAAGGATGGAAATCCTACATCCAGAGAGGGATTGCTGAGTGCTGATGAAATTCCCTTCCTCACTCAGGGTATGGAAAGCAAGCACACCCCCATCGGTGCCTCTGTTTTTCTCATTGGTAGTCATAGACTAGAGGGTTCAGAGGCCGTGACTTGGAGTTTTACCTGCAGAAGTCAGGGCTAGGCAGGTAGATTTCACCATCTGCTCTGGTTCATTTACTGGCTGTATTATAGCTGTGGAAAACTGTGTTTCCAGTCCTCTTAGGAAAAGTGTCAAGGATGTTTTAAAAATCCTCTGCATGGAGTTGAGCTGTCCAGCACAGCAGCCAGTGGCCACATGTGACCCTCAAGCCCGTGGAATGTTGCTAGTGCTACTAAGGAACCTAATTTTTCAATTTTAACTGTTTGAATTTCAAAATCTTTCCTAAATTCAATTATTTGAAAATGTTAAAGTATGTTTGGAGCAACTTGAATGTATGAATCTGCTTTTTCAACTATAAATTTTATGATCTCTAAATACAGATCAAATATTTTGGATGAAAATTTAGCATCCGAATGGAGATGTGTTTTAAATGTAAATTACACAGCAGATTTCAGGTACTTATTATGAAAAACACAATGTAAAATATCTCAATAATGTTTATATAGATTACATGTTATGATGATTAAATTAATTAGATTAAATGAGATCTATTAAAATTAACTTCATTCATTTACTTTTACTTCAAGGTGACTTCTTTTAAAAGTTTAAAATTAAGTATGTGGCTCACCTTATATTTCTATTGGTTAGTACTGGTATAGAGTGTTTTCAGTACAGAGGGTGAGTGCTGGAAGTCCCAACTACAAATCATTCTGAAGAGCCTTCCTATGCAAAGAGCAAAGCAGGCAAATTTTTTGCATGTGTTGACACCTTGTTTTCTGAGGCCCCAGTGGAGTCCTCATGCCTCCTCCTCTACTCTCTCACTATCCTCACTAGGAAAATACTATGTACTACCACTTACAACATCTTAGTGAGCAGTTGGTGTGGGTATCTCCTTCAACTTGGGCATTTTCATTTTATATTTAATCTTAAACACAAGAATGAAATGTAGAGTATGGAGCTTCAGGACCCTGGGAGGGAGTAAGTAGGTGCATCTGGAGTCCTCCAGTTTACAAGCCATCCCTGATATCCCCAGTTCCTTCCCAGTCTTGCCTGTGACTCTCCTGGCTTCATTTCTCTAAGAAATGTCACTGTGGGTCTTTACTTCTTCTAATTCCCACAGGGTGAAAAAGGTGACCTGGGTATGATGGGCTTGCCAGGGTCAAGAGGACCAATGGGCTCCAAGGTCAGTGTGTGATCCAGATGGACATTCCAGATCTTCTCAGTAAGGCTCTGGAGCAGCTGCTGTCTACAAACATAGGGACTGGTTGGGGCAGCAGTCATGAACTAGGGAATGTCACGGATATTGGAGAGCCTGCCCTTACCAGCCAGGGTGCTTGCCTTTACCAGTACTTTGGAGAATATCATGCCCTGGGATGCAGGGGCATAGGGATGCCATTCCCACTATTCTCCTGGGCAGGAAAACCAAGTTTCTGGACATCAGAGCAGATGGAAACCTTTGATCAGGCCTTTGCAGGGTGATAAAAGCAATGTTCCCTTTAAGCCTGGTATAAACACAACCCTCTGGGACATCTTTGTGTTTGGTGCTGCAGCCCCACTAAAACAGTGCAATGTGGAGACACACCGATCACCACATTCAGGAATTCCCTCTATTCTTATACTAAACTCAAAAGTCCTACAGGGCTGATTATAAATGTACCTTCTGCTTTCTTTTAGGGCTATCCTGGATCCAGAGGGGAAAAGGTTAGTGCTTTTCTTGGATGGTATCCCAGAGCCTGGTCTGGGCTACTGGCTTTGGAATCAGATGTACAGAGGATGGGCCCAGGCCTCTCTTTAGTCTGCAACTGAAGCCACCATCCTTAGCTATTCCTCGCCCTTTGCCAGTGGACTGAGAGAAGTGAGAGACCTCCTGAACCAGGGCAGGCCTGTAAGAGAAGGGCTCCCTGTAGCAGCAGAGGCCCCTCATGTGGAGCAGATAAGCAAATGAAGGCCGTGCCAGGTAGAGAAAAAGCACAGTTCGCACGGAGTGCTGGAGGAAATTGGTGATGCATGTCTTTAGGCCAAGCTGTCACCACACAACCTTCTGACCTGGCCAAAAAAGCAAATAAAAACCAGCATCAACCTGTGGAAAAATTTCCTATGGGATGAGAGAGGATTTGGGGCCCAGAATTTTCTGTGAGTTGTCCTTTATGAATGCAAGAGGTCTTCGGGGTTCAACAAAAAGTAGATTACAAAGCATTCCTTCCCTGGACAAGTCACCTGACATCTCTGAGCCTGTTTCTTCACTTGTAAAATTAGGGTTTTGGTTTAGGGAACTTTTCAGTTTGAAATGCTTGAATTTCCCTCCCAGGATATTAACTCATTGACTTTTTCTCCTGTGGTTTCTTCCTAGGGATCCAGAGGTGAAAAGGGTGACTTGGGTCCCAAAGGAGAAAAGGTAATGGAGAAAACCTTTCCATAGAAATAATAAATGTCAATGCAAGTGGCAGTCCCCACCCACCCCATCTGTGGACTGAGGATGGACTGATGGAGAGGCCTCCATTTTGAAAATGACCGACAAAGTCCATCCACAGCTGTTTCAGGTTTATTTCAGAGGCAGTCATAATATCTGTTGCTCTTTTCACAGGGTTTCCCGGGATTTCCTGGAATGTTGGGGCAGAAAGTAAGTAACCTTGGGGTAGTGAAAATAGGCCTCAGTAAAAATATGAGGTCCTCCAAGCACAACAAAAAGAGCTCTACATCTTTGTTATCAGGAGGGATGGTGTGTTTAACCATGGAAACATCTAGTTTGGGATGGGAAGCAAGTTGCCTTTCACCCTGGGGAGAGGGTGGCAGGGTGGTCTGGGGCCTCCCTCCAGCTCAATGGGAAGGAAAGGACAACCCTTCTGGGTTTTCGATTTTTTGTTTGTTTGTGTGTGTGTGTGGTTTTTGTTTGTTTGTTGTTTTTGCATTTTTCCTTTTCCTACCTCTTATAGGGCTGTGGTCATATTAAAATGCAGAAACCTTTCTCACAAGGGACTCAGGTCTTAGCTACAAGGGTCAAAGCCCCTCTCAGGATGCAGGCCCCAATGTAAGGCCCAGGTGTCTTTAGCTGAAGGTCATCGTGCCTTATTGCAGTCCTTCTTCAAGGGTGGTGCACATACTGCCAGAAGGACACAAAAGTATTTGAACTGAAGACTGCTAACATTTTTTTATAGTTAAATTTTATATTTAAATAGTTAAATATTGGCCAGCACTTAGGGAGGCCAAGGTGGGCAGATGGCTTGAGCCCAGGAGTTCAAGACCAGCCTGGGCAACATGGTGAAATCCCATCTCTACCAAGAAAAGCATACAAAACTATGCATGGTAGTGTGTACTCGTAGTCCCAGATACTCAGGAAGCTGAGGCGGGAGGGTGGCCTGAGCCCAGGAATCAAAGCTGCGGTGAGCCATGATCACATCACCACACTCCAGCCTGGGCCACAGAGCCAGACCCTGTCTCGAAAAATAAATAAATAGTTAAATATTTAGTGGATCTCTTGCTTGCAACAGGGCTTAATCAAAAAGGAATCTGTTCAGGTAACTTAAAGAAAAAAATGTTCAGCCTGGGCAATATACTGCTACCCCATCTCTTAAGAAAAAAATTAGCAGTTCATAGTGGCACATGTCTGTAGTCCCAGCGGCTCAGGAGGCTGCTTGAGCCCAGGTGATTGAGGCTACAATGAGCTGAGATTACCCCACTGCACTCCAGCCTGAGCGACAGAGCAAGACCATGTCTCTGCAAAAAAAAAAAAAAAAAAGAAAAAATATTCAGTAAATAGCAAAATCAGTTGTATATAGAGACAACAAAAATTGTGAAGGTGACTGTTGACCAACAGATTTTTTGAAACTTGTACTGAGGGTTAGAGCTGGGGAAGAAGAATGAGAGTAGATGAGGGGAATGTGAGAGAATAAAGAGAGGAAAGTGCATATATGGCCATTTGGAGCAGCTCCTAAGCTAACATCGTGCTGGCGCCTCACACTGTGAGACACTGACATTGGAAATTGTTATTTTAACCTAGGTCTCAAACCATCATATTCTTCAAGCATGCAAAGGGGATGCTTTGTTAGTATTTTTGCTTTTTAAAAGCTCACCTCAAAGTTTTATTTCCCAAACTAAGACAATTTTTATCTGACCTTTTCTAGTCAGTGGAGCATGCTTAAATATTTTCAATCATCCTGCATTAATGTATTATATCACCACCTTAAGCTGTCAGAAACTATACTCTGCTGCTTCAGGTAGGGTGTTGGGTTAAAAAAATAGATTAATTATATAAGCAAATTAAAAGAAATGTTAAAAGAGAAAAAACAGTTTTACTTAAAAATATTTAGACCAGCTCTTCATTCAGGGCAACAGTGAATGTCAAAGCATAATAAATTACTGTAAATCAAGTATGGCAGCTTCTCTGTCCTCTGCACCATTTACTCGACTTCCCATCTGAAAAGCTGTCTTCCCCTTCTATGACAGGCTGTTTTAAGACAGAGCTGATATAATGAACATAATTAGGTCTTGGGAGAGAAATTAGATCAAGGAATTCCTGACTGCTTCCAGCTGATATAGAAGGGCCACACTTCCTTCTGACAATATCTGGGGGAAAAAATGCTGCTGTGTTGTTTTCTCCCAGCCAAAACGACATCCCGAGCCTCTCTAAACAGCCAAGGGAAAGCTGCAATCATCTCCATGGCCATGTGGCATCCATCCTATCCTCTCACACTCTCCCATTCCCTAGAGAATGTTGAAGGATGTGTGGGTTGGAAAGAAATAATACATTTAAGGACAATTCTTGGTGAAACAAGACACTGGTGGCTTGGGTAAGGAAACACTGACTGAGCTGACAGATAATTTCAGAGCTTTATGCTTGATCCTTTCCAAATACAGGTGTTCCCTGGAATTTTCCATTGTGTTATACCTCCTCTGACCCGCATGTGAAAAAGTGCCTGGATGTTTATTGTTCTCTCTAAGTAGCTGGACAGCTCTTCTTGGGCACTGGCTGCTGACTAACAAACACTCATGGTTGCTATTGCTAAATTTATCTTGTTGGCGGCACATTCTGGGCTGTTGGGGGATTACTGGAGATAGTAAGCTGTGGGTTCATAACCCAAAGAAACAGTAAGTGGGGCCGGAGTCCAAGAAGAACATGGGGAAGAGGGAGAGAAACTAAGATGGAGAAATGGGGTTTGTGAAATATTGGCCTTAAACTATGAAATTCTGCAATGGATACGTTTTTTTTTTTGGAGTTGGGGGACAGAGTTTCGTTCTTGTCGCCCAGGCTGGAGTACAATGGCACAGTCTTGGCTCACTGCAAACTCCACCTCCCAGGTTCAAGCAATTCTCCTGCCTCACCCTCCCGAGTAGCTGGGATTACAGGCATGCACCACCATGCCTGACTAAATTTTTTAGTAGAGAAGGGGTTTCACCATGTTGGCCAGGCTGATCTCAAACTCCCGACCTCAGGTGATCTGCCCACCTTGGCCTCCCAAAGTGTTGGGATTACAAGCATGAGCCAATACGCCCGCCCGAGTACATTTGGTTTGGATAGTTGAACACAGAGCTTTTCAAATAGGAATATTGTTGCCATTGTTCTCCATGCCTTTTTCAATAATTACATTGAATATTTGAACATATGTTTGGAACATCTCTCCCCACAAAAGAGCTTTCATCCAAATCAAATGGAAGTAAGCTGGAACTCAAACCAGTGCTTACTAAGAGTGGGCAAGTACATGATTCTAAGTAAGAGTCATTAAATGAGAAGAATCTTCCCAAAGATGACAGTTGGCAAAACTGTGTCCAGTCATTTAAAAACCTCCAGATTTAAATTTGTGCTAAAAACGAGACATAACAAAGCACAAGATAAAATTCTAACTAGAAGGGAAAGTGTATTCCTAGACAGCTTGTAGTAAGTCACACAGGCACATTGTGCTGGATGCCCAAGCCTTCCACTGTCTGTTCTGGGTGATGGTTTGTCTCTCCTGTTTGGCCATCAAAATGTGTGCTACTCCACAGCTGTCCCTGTCAGATAACAGATAACCCACTCAGAGTTACCTTCTTCCTTCCCTCCTCTTCCTTGAAAGACATGTCTACCTTTCTCATGACTTCATCACTCTCCCGACCTTCCAGGGAAGCCCAGTTGGAATAGACTCGGAAGAATCAAGTAGACTGCCCTTGTAGCCAATGACTGGCTAGACCTGTGTAGATGTGCCCTCTCCACATGCCCTAATTCCCCTCTTGCTTCTCTTTCCTCTTTCCAGGGTGAAATGGGTCCAAAGGGTGAACCTGGGATATCAGGACACCGAGGACCCACAGGAAGACCAGGAAAACGAGGCAAGCAGGTAAGGATCCCAGGGCTTACCACCTGCCTGAGGTCAGAACTTCCTGACTTGGGGGGGCATGTGGAGTGGCAGACAAGTGGTGTCAATCAGAGATATTCTGTAGACCTAGACGCCAATGTCCTCTGGGCTAGCGGACAGGAGCAGCACCACTTCCAGAAGCTGCTGGCATTTCTGGGCTAGCCATAGTTTGAAGTGGATGAGATACAATGCTCCATTCAAACTGTGCCCAAGGCCGGAAGCAAGAGTGGATATTTGGTTCATGAAAACAAGGGTGTCTCAACCAAAGCAGCTAGGAGTGGAAGCCAGATACGGTCATTTACCCAGAAAACCTATTTTATGCTTCAGTGTCCTAGACACAAATGGAGTTTTGAAGATAAGCCTAGATATTTTCCTGCTGTTGAGGGGTCTTCTGGGTCTCAACAATAGGGTGGTTTTCCCCTACTCAGGCCTGCAATTTGTAAGTGACCATTTCTCTTGGGTTTCTTAATGCACTTAAGGCAGTTGTTCATTCGGAACTCCCTCTGGTCAGCAGGCTCTTGTGTTAAGCCATGTGATGTGACATGACTGCTCTAGAGACAGCCTTGGATGTCTTATATTTAATTCTGAGAGGTAAACATCTTTGGATGGAAGCTTTTCCCATTCTTTTAATTAGTTCCTTATGCTGGATCTGTGGCCCACAAACTTGGTCTTACATCAAGATCACCTGGGGGTGGGGCTGGTGATTGAATACAGATGTGCAGATTCCCCCACATCAGGAGCAATGGTTGTAGTACCAAGTTCGCTACTCCTTGACTCCATATCTAGGCCTTATTTTCCAAAGACCTGGAGTGAGCTTTCGGCATGTGTTTGGCTATTTTTTTTAAGCTCCATGTGATTCTAATGTGCAACCAGGGTTCAGAAACATAACAACACTATGAAGTCAATTCTGGTCTTTTCTCAGTCAATTTAGAAAGAACACAGGCTCCAACCTGGATAATTTAGACTGCACGGTGACTTCTGAAGTTACAGTCTTCCAGTCCTGTTTTCAAAGTTTGATCATGAGTAACATGGTAATGGTTTCACAATGATGCCACAGATACCAATTTCTTAAAAGTAGGCTCAGATAAAAAAGGAAAAAAAATAGGGGAGAAATCTTTTCTGATATCACTTTATCCCCACCTAATGATTTCCATCCATAATATTTTAAGCTTGGGTTCAAGAAGCCTCCTGGCTTCCTTCTGTCTCGGTCAGTATTGGTCTTTTCCTTGTTCCTGGTGATAACCAAAGCCAGGAAGGCCATTTCTTGAGCCTGCTGAGACTGATTCCATTAGAATTGTAAAAGCTACACTAAAACCACATCTGGGAGCTCTGAGAAGTTAGAGAAATGAGCCCACGCTTTCGACAAGACGTTGCAAACAACCCGGGAATGCTGAAAACCCTCGGTGTTGGTGCCATTTCAGTCGGCAGATAACGAGTTGTTAGCCCTAGAAGCCTGCTGGGGTACTTCGTTTTTATCATGAATTAATAGGCTAGCATAGAGTCTCACATACTCTTTGTTTGTTGGGCCAGCAGTGCTGAGAGTCTCTGCAAGTTATTGTTAAGTCATTCCAAAGCCAAAAATCAGAAATTCAGAAGGAATTTCGGATAGTAATTTCTGTGCCAGAAGGTTACAGAGGCCACTTAATCCAGTCTCCTCAGGTTATTCACAAGGAAGCTGAGGGCCAAGGAGGTGGATTTGCTTGCCCAGGACCCCTCCATTCAGCTAGTTTCAGAGCCAGGGTTAGAATCTAGCGTTGGGTTGAGATCAGTTTTCCCCACATCACTTCTTCTCTTACCTTCATGCTTCAGGACTTGCCTCCAGGCAAGCCCAGAAAAGCAGTTGTGGACTTTATTATTAAAATCTTGGTCTGGCACGGTGACTCATGCCTATAACCCAGCACTTTCAGAGGTTGAGGCAGGTGGATCACCTGAGGTCAGGAGTTTGAGATCAGCCTGGCTAACATATAGTAAAACCCCATCTCTACTAAAAAATACAAAAATTAGCTGGGCATGGTATTACATGCCTATAGTTTCAGCTACTTGGGAAGCTGAGGCAGGAGAATAGCTTGAACCCGGGAGGCGGATGTTGCAGTGAGTTAAGATGCACTCCAGCCTGGGGGACAGAGCAAGACTCTGTCCAGCCTGGGTGACAGAAAAAGACTCTATCTCTCAAAAAAAAAAAAAAAAAAATCCTCTCCTGCAATGTCTGTTTAAAATGAAAAAAAAAAAAGCTTTGGTAACTGAGGAACAATTTCCTTGAGAGAGATCACCCAACTTTGTGGCAAATAAGGAATTAAAAACGTCTTTCCTGGAAAGCTCTGCTCAGTGAGTCCTGCTGATAGAGACGTGGCTCATTCTGAGCGATGACCGATAAGCGGAATATTCCATTACTGCTGGTGTCAGAATCAAGGAGCATTTCCACCTCCTTCAAGCTTTGGCACTTCCTGTGCTCAGAACCAGCTGACATGGCCGTTAGAAAAACAAGCCTGAACTGTGGCTATATTAAGACAGTGTGACTTCCTTTGCCATCCTGGGACCCAGCTTGGTTACTGCAGGGAATGCTTCAGCTTGGGCTGAGGCTTAAGAACTCCCTCCATAAACATGGAATCGGAAATAAATTCTGACCTCCCAGGTCCCATATTGAGAGCGCAAGAACTCCTTGAACATTGCTGAGAGGGCCCCCAGTGTCATGTGGACAAGGTGGCAGGTCACCTGTCACCATGGTAGCTGGAAAGGAGTCCCTGGCATGCCTGCTTCCCAGATTTGAGGAAGATTATATTTCATCAGGGCAAGCCTGCCAAGGCACAAGTGCAGTAGGAAGAACCAGGCCAAAAATGTCAGGTATCAATCATTGCTTTGATTAGGCCTGAGGCAAGAACGGACAGTTAGCAAATTGCTCAGGGGCATAGTGGATAGCATGCAGCAGCCTCGGCTTCGGTGTGACTCCTAAGGGCAACCCTGAGGGAGAACCAAGAGCCCAGTCTTTGCTCATGATGCTTCCGGAATAGGCAGCAAAGAGGACACTCCATGTGGAACAGCTGTAGCCACAGGTGTGCCTTTTTATAAATAAAATCAGGACTTGTTTAACTGCATGAAATAGATGGAACCAGGCCAGTTGCTGTGATAATTGGCTTGCCCCACGTAGCTCTTCATTGTGTGCAAACCATATTTTCACCTCTGAGATCTTTGTTAGTCTCACAACAAACCTATATGGGTGTAAATTTACTGGCCCCATTTTAAAGATGACAAAACTGAGCTACAAAGCAATGACATGAGTTACCTGGAGTCTCATAGTCAAGGTGAAACCTCTGGACTTACAGATCGGCAAAGCTGCCTACCTTTGTGTTTCTAGCGTCTTTCTCCTCCCTCATTTCATCTGGGGAAAGGAGGTGAGCTAGACAAATTCCAGCCCATAGGGAGAGTATGTCTTATGGGGAGATATTGATGAAATGACCACACAAATAATCCATATGCTACGATCTGGGATAAACGCCATGAAGGAAACAGGCTGAGTTATGAGAGCATATGGTGGGGTGAACTGACTCCGCCCAGGAAGGTCAGGGAAGGCTTTGCCATAAGGGCATTTGAGTTGAGAGCCAAAGGTTGAGTGGCAGTTAACTAGGCAGTGGGGAAGGAGGAGGGTTTGGGGCAGAGAGAAGGGTCTTGGGAAGGGAGATAATAGACATGGTGCTCTTGAAGACCATTTCTCCACAATTTAGCTCATTCCAAAAGACTGGAATAAGGCTGGAAAGCCTGGCCATGCCGGGCTTCACAGGCTGCAGTAAGGAGCTAATCCTGAGACAATGGGAAGCCAATGAGTGAAAATACCTCTTTTCTAGGCCTCTATTTCCTCATCCGCCTGGGGCCTGGAGTAGATTGGACTAGCTCCTTTTAGCTGCCATGTGCCACATTTGTAGGACAGAGCAAGAACTAAGGTCTGCAAATTTGTAACCATCATTATCTCAAATGTCACTTGCCCCAAGCTTCTTAGGAGCTTGATTGATGGTCAAGCCCTCTGGAGCTGCATCCCCCACTGGGCTCTCCTTAAGTGCAAGGTGATCTCTGATTTAGTGACAAAATGGGGCAGGAAGCTTGCTATGTCATGCTTTCGTAACAGGTTCTGCCTTTCTCTCTGTCAGGGACAGAAAGGGGACAGTGGAGTTACGGGCCCACCGGGCAAGCCTGGGCCTTCTGGTCAACCTGGCCGTCCAGGCTCCCCAGGGCCCCCAGGGCCCCCATCTGCAGGTAAGAGCTACACTGCTTCACTTGATCCACTATTGCAGTACTGGCCAGCCTTCCAGAGAGGACACAAGGAGATGCCAGCAGAGATGGCTTGTGTTTCAAGTTAGAAACTACCAGAGGCACTCCAACTTTATAATTTCTCCACAGTTTAGCTCATTCAACTTTTATGCAAGAGAGATAAATTCCACTCTGAATTTGTTTTAGCATTCTGGAGAACAAATAGCGTAAGAAAAAAAGTGCATTAATGATGTCATTTATACCTTAAGTGAAAAATAACAGGAATATATTTCATCAACTAATACCTTTTTCTAGATAAAAAAGTTTCATGGCTTCAAGCAGTTCTCTTAAACCTAGAAGTAAAGGTAACGTTGTTTTTCCATCTTACAGTGTTATAAAAGAGTCATTATTTGTTTGCAATAGATATATAAAGAGGCATGGTGGTTCACGCCTGTTATCCCTGTGGGAGGCCAAGGTGGCTGGATCATTTGAGATCAGGAGTTTGAGACCAGCCTGGCCAACATGGTGAAACCCCGTCTCTACTAAAAATACAAAAATTAGCCTGGCATGGTGGCATGTACCTGTAATCCCAGCTACTCTGAGGCTGAGGCAGAAGTATCACTTGAACCTGGGAGGTGGAGATTGCAGTGAGCTGAGATCGTGCTGTCTCGAAAACTCCATCTCAAAAAAAAATAGATATAGAAAGAAATTACTAAAATGAAATAAAAAAAAATTAAAAGTCCACTATGGAAAAGGGCATACTCTGCTTGCAAAAAAAAAAAAAAAAAAAAAAAGCTGGGGGGAGCTAAGCCCTTTATTTTGTTCCCTTATCAGCTGATGGTAGGGGCTTTCACAGCACATCAACTATATAAAGACGGTATCAGGAAACTCATTTGTTGACTGTGCAATAGTTTTTGTCTTCAGTTATAAAAAAGGAATCCAAACAATTTTTATTCTAGCTTTTTTTCTTAAGAAAATGAAGACATTTGCAATTCCATAGTGTATTCCCCCTCCTCCTGTGTTTATGGAAATATATTTGCAGCCGCATCGTGGGATGGGAAAGAAATGTCGTATTTTGTTAGATCCTTTAAATGAAGTTAAATCTGGCTCAGAGAGTCCAACCTGTTAGGATGCCAAAAAATTTAATTCAGGCATTATTACGATTTTCACTACTCCCTCAACTGCCATGATAGGGTTGGGCAAAGATCCTGGTGAATTATGGCAGGGAAGGTCCCTCCAGCCTTTGGTCTACTCTATTCACATCTGAAATAGAGTAGAAATAGAAATAGACTTGTCCTTGTCCAAGTCCCTGTGGTCCACAGATAGCTGCTGGCTGCTGTCCTCATGCCATACGTGGGTATCAGAACATTTTCAAGGCTGGGAGTCCTGGTCCCTCCAGTTCAACTTCCCAAAGAGCACCCCACAGCTGTTCTTTCTGAGACCTGTCTCTTCCCCAGGGCACAAGGGGTCCCTCTCCTGTCCATGCCTAGGGAAGTCTCTCCTCTTCCATCCCTGACCCCCTATACTAGCACCCCAGTTAGGAGCTTTGTCCTTCAGAGAACAGAAAATAGAAAGGCAAGTTTGTTTCCAGTAGTACCTGCTTTTAGCAAGGGCGAGAAAACACAAACTCTTGCTGTGTCCTTTAAATTGGGAGAGGAGGAAGGAAATACTAAGAGAACAAACATTGGTTAGTATGGTAGTAACTTATGTTGCTGCAGCTGTTTCCATGCTGTTAGGGGAGATTGGAGATGCAGTCCAGGCCATATGCCCACACTCCATAATTCATTTCTGGAGTTGGCTGGATGATCTGAATGGGGGTCCTTTCAACTAGTTCTCATCCTCCTTGGTTCTTGAAGGCATGATGTCCTCCTAGAGCCCTATGACTATGAGCTACCAACCCCAGAGACTGACAGCATGGCCTGAGGTCTGGGTTGTGCCTTCAGAAGGGACTCTCTTGGCCATTGGGGTACCTAGGAGCTCACAAAACTGAGGAGTAGTCCAGGGGCATGCGATGGGTGGATGTGTAGGATGTCCTCAGCAGACTAAGATCTTAATGGTCTCACTGTGTTTATCTCTTCGTAAAGGCCAGCCCTCACCTGACTTGAACTCTGGTTTTCTCCTGGGGCTGGGGAATGGATGAGAAGGGCTCGGCCAGAGCTGTCAACAGCTCCTTGGTGCCTGCTGTTTCTCCTGTCTTGTTAGTCTTCAGTGTGTTGCAATCCTGTCCTGTCAGCAGGCCCTGCAGAGTCGTCCTCTTTGTCCCTGGCCTTCCAGCTCCCTCTCTTCCACCCAGTATGCCCACCTCGCTCTTCCTGGACTAGCCAGCCTCTGCCCGATCCCAGCCACCCTGACCTCTACCCTTCAGAGGACAGCTAGCCATCTGTGGAGCTGGAGCTATTCCTATGGTCTCTCTGGGTTCACGTGGCCTGACATGGCACTCCTCTTACCTGCCTCCCATCCAACAAAATCTCTCTTCCTTCGAAGCTCTCTTTTCAGTAAGGCCTTCTTGGCCCCTAACAGGATAGATCACCCTCCCCTGAGCCCTGATCACATATTGCCTCTCTGTTATGGCCCCTCCATTGGTAACGTTTCTGCAGATGTGTTTCATCTTCCTGCTATATCCTTGAAGGGCAGGGTCTGTGGCTGAGTCAGCATCACTTCCCCAGTGGCACCTGGCAGGTGAGTGCACAGGGCTGCTTCCTTCAGGGGCTCCCAGACAGGGGCTCTGTGGGTTCACAGCCCATCTCCTTAGGAGCCAAGCAGGGTAGGGTCATCTCTTTGGAGTGATGTCTCCTCCCTTCCTTTGAGCCAATTCCTTTCTGAGGAGCCTTCCTGAGTAAGGGGGATGAAGAGGAAAAAGAGAAGATAGGGCAATAAATAATCCTGCTATCTGGAAAAGTTTGGAGGGGTAGGAGAGAGGGCAGGGAAGGAGTTTACAAGAGATATCTAGCCAGGCATGGTGGCTCACGCCTGTAATCCCAACACTTTGGGAGGCTGAGGCAGGCAGAACACTTGAGGTCAGGAATTTGAGACCAGCCTGGTCAACATGGTGAAACTCCTGTCTCTACTAAAAATACAAAAATTAGCCGGGTATGGTGGCGCACGCATGTAATCCTAGCTACTTAGGAGGGTGAGGCAGGAGAACAGCTTGAACCCAGGAGGCAGAGGTTGCAGTGAGCTGAGATTGGATCAGTGCACTCCAGCCTGGGTGACAGAGTGAGACTCCATCTCAAAAATAAATAAATAAAATAAATAAATAAATAAATAAAAGAGATAGCCCTGTGCCTGGGCCCAGTTGGATAATCATCCAGAGTTGGAACAGGCCCCTCAAAGTGGTCCCGACACTACCTTTGACAGTCTGTTAAAAGTCCCAAACCCACTCTCAGAAGGAAAGAAACTGTATACCTACACCCAAGGTTTTGCACCTCATTTCCCAGGGTTCCAGAACCCCTGCTGCAGAGCCATTGTGAGGTAGCCTTGGCCTCTGCAGACAACAGGTGAAAACACCCTGGTCTAGTCCTACCCTCCCCTTAGAGATACGAATCTTGAACCTCAAGCAGAAGTGATGCCTGCAAGGTCACAGCAGTGACTACAGGCCACTCTGATCCAGAATCGGTCCGTGACTCCTGTGACTGTCAGCCAGGCGGCCTCTGGAGGTGGTTGTGCTGGTTCCTCTGCCTTCTGCTAGATTCCTCACTCCTGACCTTTTCCCATCAAGGCAGCCAATGGAAGTGGAAGGCTGCCTGGGTGAAGATGGAGAGCCAGGTCCTCTGGCTGCAGCGGGTAGAGATGAAACCAGGCTGAGACATGATCTCCCAGAGGTTGGCGTGGGGAAGTTCAGGTTGCTATGTCCTTCAGCATGGCCTGGCAGAAAACAGGCAGGGCTAACGGATGCCCTCCAGCAGCTGGGAGGAAGCTGCAGGGAAACTGTAGTGGTGGCAGCAGGCTCCCTGCCATATCCTGTTGGGAGGTGACCTCGAGTTTGGGTGCCCAACTCTGTGGGAACGGATGGTGCTGAGGGAGGTGGAAAGGGTGAGAGCTTTGTAATTACCTAAGTCACAAGGAAAGAGGGGCTAAGGGGTGGGAAGGGTGGGGAGGGAATAAAGACAAAATGCTTTTAGGATGTAATTTGCAATAATCAAATAACAAATTTGGCTGAGTCCTTCCTGTACCCAGACAGAGTATAAGTGAATCAGCGTGGTACCTGGGAATTGCCAGCTTCCTAGAGCATCAGTATTCTTGGACATTTGTCTTTTGAACAGCATAGTGTTAAGTCAAACATGAATTCAAATCTCAACCCCACCATTCATCAGCAGCTAATGGGACCAACTCCTGACTCCGTCTCAGGCCACAGTTCTGGAGGATTTGGTGGGGTCACAGAGCAGTTGGAAGGCTGCTCCAATGCCACCCTCACATTCTTGATCACAGAGCTTTTCCACTTCAATTTCCCTAAGTACTTAATTACTCATAATTTTCCTAGGCTGGTGGATTCCCTGTCTCTCTGGGCTCTTCTGAAAATATCAGAACACAGACTGGAGCTCTTCCCACAGAATTATATTTGCATTTCTTGTTAGAACAAACAATCATAGCTTAGGATAAGATGTTGGCAAAGCTTCCTTCCCCTCGCTCTGTTCAGCATTCTGATTGTAGGAACACCTGTCAATCCGCTTGGGATGGTTCAGTCTCCCTCTCTGGTTATAGTAGCTTCCCTGGTGTCCTGGCCGGATCTCTCCCCGGGGTCATTTTATTTCTTGCCCTCCTGGATCTGTGAACTGTGTTCCCAACCCCTGGCTGCCCCAGATGTCATACTACTTGACACCAACGACTGCCTGGCCTCCAAACCCGCCCCTCCCCCCATTTCCCAAGGAAGGGATCCTTACTTATTTCTCTTCTCAGTCTCCATCTTTTCTTCTCTTTCCCCACTTCCTGTTGGATGACTCTTGCTCTGGTACTTTCCTGCCAGCCAGAATGTGACTTCTAGCTTTTTCCGAAGACTTTTTCTCTCCAGTTAGTCTGCATTCATTCATTCAATCATCAAACGTTTTCCATGCCCCTACTTTGTGTCAGCACTGGTGGATGAAAACAGGCACTAGCCCTGTCCCTGTGGAGCCATATTCTACTGGAGATCAACCTTGATGGAATAATCCCAAAATACATAGAATCATAAACAAAGAGAAGTGCTGTGAAAAGGAGCAGGAAACCATGATAGTGTATCCCAGGTGTGCATGACAGAGTCTGAGGATTCAAAAAGACTTCCCTCAGGAAATGATGTTTGAACCCAGATCAGAAGGCAGTTAGGAGGCAGCTGGGAGGGATGGAGGATGAAGAGAAGATGATCTGGCAGAGGAATGGACCAGTTCTCAACCTTGGCACAAATTTGCCTGACCAGGCGCAGTGGCTCACGCCTGTAATTCCAGCACTTTAGGAGGCCGAAGTGGGTAGCTCAGTTGAACTCAGGAGTTTGAGACGAGTCTGGCCAACACAACAAAACCCTGTCTTTACTAAAAACAGAAAAATTAGCCAAGTGTGGTGTCACGCTCCTATAGTCCCAGCTACTCGGGAGGTTGAGGCAGGAGAATCACTTGAACCTGGGAGACAGAGGTTGCAGTGAGCTGAGATTATACCACTGCACTCCAGCCTGGGCAACAGAGTGAGACTCAGTCTCAAAAAAAAAAAAAAAAAAAAAAACACAAAAAAACAAGGGGATGCCTTATGCTAACGTGATAAAAAATATTTTTAATAAATAAATAAAAGTGTGGATGCTGCCTACTTTCAGTTCAGTTTTCAGAAGCCTTGGTGGAACTTGGTCTGGAATGTATCCTGGGCATCAGGGCCTTTAAAAGCCAAGGTACTACCCTCACCGTTTTTCTACATTGCTAGGGAATACATTTTCTGATCATATCTTTTCAAGACATGTCCTGACTTCTTCAGCACCAGGGGAGGGTAAAATAGAAAACATTCTATTTTCTTCCGGAAGAAATGAAAGAAACCCTCACCCAGAAATTATTCTGTAAAGATTCTATTGGCTCATGTCTGTAATCCCAGCACTTTGGGAGGCCAAAGCAGGCAGATCACCTGAGGTCGGGAGTTCGAGACCAGCCTGACCAACATGGAGAAAGCCTGTTTCTACTAAAAATACAAGATTAGCCAGGCATGGTGGCTCATGCCTATAATCCCAGCTACTCAGGAGGCTGAGGCAAGAGAATCGCTTGAACCCAGGAGGCAGAGGTTGCAGTGAGCCGAGATCGTGCCATTGCACTCCAGCCCGGGCAATAAGAGCAAAACTCTGTCTCAAAAAAACGACAACAACAACAAAGAAAAAGAAAAAGAAAAAAAGAAATCCAGAGGTAGACAATAGCTGGCTTTGATTCAGCCTCTGACTGTCACTGTCAGGGCCCCAGACCCCATTAGCCTTTTGTCTTTTCCTGCATGTTGTCTTATCTCCTCATGTTTGTGACTTCCTGTTGGCAACATGGCTGCTGCAGCACCAGACATTTTGACTGTCTTCAAGGCAGGAAGGAGAGGGAAGCTGTCTCCTCACAACTATTTTTCTCACCTTATCTCCTCCATGTCTTGGATCAAAAGCATCTATTTTTTTGTTTTGTTTTGACAGAGTCTCACCAGGCTGGAGTGCAGTAGCACGATCTCGGCTCATTGCAACCTCTGCCTCCCGGGTTCAAACGATTCTCCTGCCTCAGCCTCCCAAATAGCTGGGACTGCAGGTGCGCGCCACCAAGCCCAGCTAATTTTTGTATTTTTAGTGGAAACGGGGTTTCATTATTTTGGCCAAGATGATGTTGATCTCTTGACCTCATGATCCGCCCGCCTCAGCCTCCCAAAGTGCTGGGATTACAGGCGTGAGCCACTGTGCCCGGCTAAAAGCATTTCTTTAACCTCTCCCTCAGGCATACCCTGAAATGCTGTGGACTTTAACCTTTTTTCTGTCGCATAGATCGCTCACATCTCCCTGGGTTGTTTGGTCTTCTCTTCCTTGGCTCTAGTAATACAGCTGTCTGTTGCTTCCTAGGACAACTTATAATGGGACCCAAAGGGGAAAGAGGATTTCCCGGGCCTCCAGGAAGATGTCTTTGTGGACCCCCTCTGAATGTGAATAACCCTTCCTACGGGGAATCCGTGTATGGGCCCAGTTCCCCGCGAGTTCCTGTGGTAAGGCTTTCTGGGAGAAGTCTAGGGTGGTTATCTGTGAGGACCTCTCATCTGATCCTTATGGGGCTTTGTAAAATCCTTTCAGTAAAACTTACTTTCTTTCATGACTCTGGGTACACGTTCATTATAGGAAATTGGAAAATATGAGAAAATCAAAAGAGGAAAACCAAACTGTCCATTTGATTGTGAGTCCATTTTGGGGGCATTTTCTTTGTCTTTTTAAAATCTAACTTTTATATGGTTGAGATTATATTGTATTAAAATGTTGTGCTTTGTTATTTTAGTTGAAATCCTGCCATGTTTCCACCCTCTAGAAATAACATTTTAAGCTTTTTTAAGAGAAAATTTCAAATACATATAAAAGCAGAATAGTGTAGTGAACTATTACAGGGTACCCATCACCCAACTTGAATAATGATTAATTCATGGCGAGCCTTGTATCCTAGTTTTCTCTTCATGCCCACTCACTACTGCCCATCCTCTGTTGGATTATTTTGAAGTAAACTTTGGACATCAATTCATCATAATCATCCATTCAGTGTGACTGGGCTACGATTTATTTAATCGGTGTTGGTGTTTAAGCAACATATTGTTTATTGGCCACCCCCAAGCTTTTTACTAATGTAAATAATACTGTAAAGAACATCTTTGAGTATGACAATTTTAAGAATCACTTCCAGATGTCAAATTACTTGACTATATGACATTGCCTTTTGATTTAAGTCTTGGGAGCATTTTAAATATTTAAGTGTTAAATCCATGTGAATATTTTAGTTTCAAACTCAGACATTAGGAACTGCATTGAGAAGGTGTGGGAATCAAGACACTTACCTTCAGAAGGAATGCTAGAGTGTAATGTGCAAATCCCTCTTCCCACTGTTGAGCAGCCCAAGGATAGAGATGGTTTCCTCTGCCAGCTTTTTCCCTGTCCCCTGCAGAATTGTTTTCTGGAATCCTCACCATTGTGTTCTCTGGCAGATTTTTGTGGTCAACAACCAGGAGGAGCTTGAGAGGCTGAACACCCAAAATGCCATTGCCTTCCGCAGAGACCAGAGATCTCTCTACTTCAAGGACAGCCTTGGCTGGCTCCCCATCCAGGTACCCCCAGGCCATCACCTCAGGACATACTCCCTGCCCAGGAAAGAGATGTATCCATTAAAGGAAGGGAAGGCCACCCCACTGGGCCTGGGCTTTCTGTAGTCTATCTACATAGGAGGGCTGAGCATCCTCCCTCAAACTGTTTCTGAGAAGCCCTCCATTCTCCTACCTTGACCCTCTTGGAGCCAAGGTTCCAGATGGTCTCCATATCCCTGCGTGCCAGGTTGCCATTTTGATGTGACCCAGCATTCACCCAGCTACAGAGCTCTAGGTGACAAGAAAGGAGTATTTTTCCCACCCCTGGGAGGAAGTCAAGGCATGCCCCGCAGGAATGCTGTGGGACCCAGAACCAGTGACCTCCCTGCCTGCGGCTGCCTGGGCATGCCATGCTCCAGTTAATGCTGTGTGCTTCCTTGGCCAGCTGACCCCTCTCTACCCTGTGGATTACACTGTAGACCAGCGCAGCACCTGCGGGGATGGGCTCCTGCAGCCTGGGGAGGAGTGTGACGACGGTAACAACGATGTGGGTGACGACTGCATCAGTGAGTGAGGTCCAGCCCAGGAGGACCTGAGGCCTGAGCAGCAGAGGGGTGGGACTGGGGACCAGCCCTGAACACCAGCTGTGATGCTTTGGGACCATTCTAGACCCAGATAAGGGTGTACCCAGGCTGTCTTGTGCCATCTACCCTAGCCCTTGCTGCCCCAATTTCAGCCCAAATGTTAACTCTCCCACCACCCAAGCACCTCACCAGGGATGGATGTGAAGGGTCCTCCCCCAGTTAGACCTTCTTTATCCTAAAATGTAGCCACCAGGTCCTTCCAGTCCTACATCTTAGCAAAATCCATGCTACAGGTGCAGAAGATAAAGGCGATGGGCTCTCACTTTGCAAGGAGGAGTGAAAGGCAAAAGGGAGAGGCCAAGAATCTGAATGGGGGCTCATTTACCAGGTAGAGCTCGAGTGGCAAAGCCCTCCATAGAGGAAGCTGGGCCAGCCAGAGCTTTCATCAGCCTCATGGGCTGCTGCGTTAACTGGTAGGCAGCAAGCTCTGGAAGGTTTGCTTGTTTTTTCTTCTTTAAATCAAGTAACAAAACCAGGAGTTGTGGTGGAAAGCATGAGCTGAAGAGTCAACAGAGATTGAATGCAGGCTCTGAGAACCACCAACCACCCTCAGGCTCAAGGCAGAGGCCACACAGTGGGTGGGGTGATGGCGGTCAGTTTACAGCTCTGAGCCTCACTTTCCTTACCTGTGAAATGTGCTGGCTGCTCGAGTCCCTAGAGATCCTATTAGCTAACATGTGCAGGGATTATCTGGATAGAGTAAGGGTTCAACCACTGTTCACAGAATTCATTTAGAGAGTTTGGTTTAAGCCCCTCCTCTAAAGAGCCAGGCTGGGCTCCTGGCTGGGTGGGTGTGGATGCAAAGTCATGGTCCTTGCTCTCAAGAAGCTCTGGGGAGGCTGGGCACAGTGACTCATGCCTGTAATCTCAACATTTTGGGAAGCTGAGGTTGGAGGATCACTTGAGCCTAGGAGTTCAAGACTAGCCTGGGCAACAGAGCAAGACCGAATCTCTACAAAATAATTAAAAATTTAAAAAAATTAGCCAGGCCTGGTGGTGCACACCTGTAGTCCCAGCTACTCAGGAGGGTGAGGTGGGAGGATGGCTTAAGTCCAGGGGTTCAAGGCTGCAATGAGCTGCAATTGCACCACTGCACTCCAGGCTGGGTGACAGAGTGAGACTCTCTCAAAAAAAAAAAAATGTTCAGGGGAAGGATGACAGGGCAGAGTGGGTGTCGGGAGATGCTGCTGATTATCTCAGCGTGGTCTCACTGTCTCCCAACAGCTCCAGGGACGGCATCCCCTAGGAGACTGGCCCAGCCCAGAGTCCCTTCTTCCTCTGGTGCACAGTGTCAAATAGGAGCTCTTACAGTAGGAAGGAGCAAATGGGCTCTCCCGCACTGTGAAAATGATGCTGGGGTCCATACTCCAAGACCCTCCTGTCGTGTGAAAGCAGAGGTCTTTGCTGAAGATCATGTGGCTCCCCAGGGACCCAAGGGTGGGCTCACCAGTGTCACACAGAAGCTCTCTGTTGACCAATGAGTCCCCATGCATCCTCACTGGGGATCAGTAGTCTCCCAGTGCTCACTTCCAGGACCCCCACACTGGCTCTATGAGGTGGAGGTCATGTCAGTGTCCCAGTTTTGCAGATAACCACCTGGAGTCTCGCCACCCCTCAGCTAGTAAGTGGTTAGGTGGGGCCAGAGGCAGGGTTTCCTCATTCTTGTCCCATAGCACATCAGTGTGGGACCAGAGCCTGAGGGGCAGTCCCTGGAGGAGTCTGAGGCAAGTTCTTTCAGCAGTACAGCATTTAGCGGGGATCCCTTGGGTTGCATGGTCCTTACAAGCTGAGGGAAGCCTGGCACCTCTGCTCCTTCTCAGGACTGCGCCTCCTATGTCCCCTCAGGCTGTCACCGTGCCTACTGTGGAGACGGTCACCGGCATGAGGGTGTGGAGGACTGTGATGGCTCTGACTTTGGCTACCTGACGTGCGAGACCTATCTCCCTGGGTAGGGATGACTCCCACCTCCCCCTTCTCCCTCTTTCTCCTGCTTTCCTCCTTGCTTTTCTTCTTTCCTTCACAAATATTTTGAGTGCCTCTCCATTTCCTAGTGCCTTCTAGACACTGAGGCATGGTGATGAATGACACAACACATGCTCCCCACCCATCATGTGCCCTCTTGGTCAGCACTGCCTGCGTGCCACTGAGGCTGAGCCATGGCACACACAGCCACCTGCTCTGTCCGAGGCCCAGAGGGGAAATGCAGTCTCTGAGATCAGCTGCTGCCCTGTATGAGCAGCCCTGAAACCCAGCAGTCACTGTGACCACTTAGTCTCCTGGGCTGTGGGCCCAGGTGGGAAGCCCAGTGGAGAGTAAAGGTCTCAGCACATTTCAAAGAATCCATACGTCTCCCTAACCTGACTTCCCTGGCACACGCTGCCCATCCCTCAGGCATGCCTGTGAATGCAAGTGAGATCAAATCAGCCTTAATATCTGAGTTTGCAAGCTCATGGCCCCTCCACGAAACTGCTCCCTCCAAGGACCCCTCTAGTTATTTCTGAGACTCCTCAGTGGCTATTTATGTTGCTCAGGACAAGTATTCCATGTGTCCTGGCTTCATGCTGGCATCTGCCAAGCCAACTGAGGGCCACCATCCCATGAGGTGCTGATTCGATGCCCAGATTGTAACCCCTGGGCTCCTTCTAAGGTGCAGAAGATACATGTCTCCCCAGTCCTTACAGAATCAGAATTGTACAATGTTCTCAGGAAAATGGGGAGGCCATTCCTTTCCATCCAGGCCTTGCCATGCTCTTCCCTTGGTTCCAAGTGGATCCTACTGGTATCTCCAACCTCTTCTGTTCTTGAGTCCAGTCTCTTCAGCTTTTGCTCCCATCCCTTTTCTTCTTATAGACTCAGACTTGGGCCCTTGGCAAGCTGGGGAGCCATGCCTGTCCCTCCATTGCCCACTCTCTGCTCTCTTCCTAGGGGGTCTCCCTAACACTCACATATTAGCATGTTCAGCCAGGCTGGGAGAACTACAGACCTATAGTCTCCCCCAGACTCCAAGCCCGTTTAGGCTCAGCCAGGACCCCACTCCATGGATGTGCAGTGCCCCTCTCCCTGAAGGAAGGAAGATCCCTGATAGACCTCTGCTGGAGAGTTGGCTCTTCATGGCTCCACGGAGACAAATGAGTGTAGACGATCAGATAGAGTGTAGGATCAAGTAGAGCTGAGGGCTCCCCCATGCTCACTGTGGTTATGCAGCTACTCCCCAGAAGCTTCAGAGGGATGCTTGTGACTGTGCGTGTGAGGTTTAACACCCTGTCTCAGATGATCATTCTGGCCTACAGAGGTATAAACTGCACTGCCAAATATGGTAGCCCCCACTCACAGGCCTCTGTTCAAATTTAAAGTAATTGTAAATAAACTTAAAATGCAGCTATTCAGGCCAGGCACTGTGGCTCACGCCTGTTCCAGCACTGCAGGAGGCCAAGGCAGGTGGATCATCTGAGGTCAGGAGTTCAAGACCATCCTGGCCAACATGGTGAAACCACGCCTCTACTAAAAATACAAACATTAGCTGGGCATGGTGGCAGGCACCTGTAATCCCAGCTTCTCGGGAAGCTGAGGTAGGAGAATCGCCTGAACCCAGGAGGCAGAGGTTGCAGTGAGCCGAGATCACACCACTGCACTCCAGCCTGGGGGACAGAGTGAAACTCTGTCTCAAAGAAAAGGAAAAAAATGCAGTTACTCAGTCACAGTAGCTACATTTCAAGAGCTCAATAGCCACATCTGGCCAGTAGCTTCACAGATACAGGACATTTTTGTCAGTATGGAGCATTGTAACTTTTCAGACCTTGAGAAGGAGGTGATTTTCTTATAGATGCTGTGCTAAGAGCAGGGTGACCATCTCCTTCCACCCAGGCCCCAAGCCTGGGGGCTTAAGGCAAAAATCCCAGAGACATGATTTAGTTCCCCCAGGCCTCTCACCCCAAATGAGAATGGGAAAAGTTTTTATAGAACCACTGGCTGTTGACCACTGTTTGATAAGGTTTGACCAGGAGTCACCAGCAGGTAAGAGGTGGCCTTTTAGAACGTGTCTTTGCCTCCCTTAGGTCCTATGGAGACCTGCGATGCACCCAGTACTGCTATATCGACTCCACGCCCTGCCGCTACTTCACCTGAGGCTGTGAGGAGGAGGTGGGCTGCGCCCCACGGAATGGCAGCAGCTTCTCACCATCATCAAACTGGCCATGCACTGTCCTGGCCGTGTCTCCACCAATCTTTGTGTGACAAAAACAAGGACAAATTCCTGCTACTAAGACGTGCTGTTGACTCAGTGTGACTGGAAGAATTTAGGACCACTGTATCCTGTCTTAAGCCAAAGTACGGAAAACCTTCCACATGCCCAACCTGAGAACTGTTTCCCATCGCTACCATCGGGCAAACAACTGGTTACAATGCTCTTCCTCTTCTGGAATGTAGCTGACCCAGGCCGCCAATGTGGCTGAGCACTGTGAGACACACATAGACCTGCGGGGCTGTTTTGGTATGTTTGGATCTTGTTGGGGAATCTGGAGTACAGGCCTCTCCGCCCCCTGGCCTCCAAAAGGAGCAGGCATTCTCACTCAGCCTGGGCAGCCAGCTCTCGGGACTCTCAGGGCCTGTGGACCACTAAGCAGGGAAGTGGGCACGTTCTCTTGGTGTGGCTCACAGCCTTGAATCTGCCACAGGACCCCGCGACTGGCCACAGCCCAGCCCAGCCTGATGTGGATGTGGCTGCCCAGGAAGAGACTTAACTGTGAAAACGTACTGAGAACCCATGTGACCCAAGCTTCCCCCAAACAGAGGCTAGAGATGAGCCTCCTCTTCTCAGTGTTTCCCAAAGGGGCGGCTCTTGTGGTTTCAGAATCTCTGGCACCATCCTGACCTCTTGGCTCTCTCTGTACTTTGGCCCCTGTCTCGCAAATTCATGTCCATTTCCTGTCCGGGAGACTCATGAGGACTGTGACCTGCACAAGCCCACACCTGGGCAAGCCGTTGGTGTCTCCTTGGTCCTTAGACAGATACTGTCCTGGGTCCCCCATCTAGGGCCCACTGTGAGTGCTGTCTCTAGGCAGAGCGTTCCTGGCCGGAGCGCTACCTCCTTGCCTCCTGCTGACCCCCGACAATACCCTGTGGCCCTCCTTTCATGTCTGTATATTGCATAGCCTTGTCCTCCTGTGTGCCTGAGCTGCTCCCTTTTCGATAAGATTATTAGTCCTGCATGTCTGTGAGTTGCCTTTCATCACCATTTTTCTGGAGTGGGGCTTAGTTTTATTTTGGAAAGACATCTCCAAGGTGAGGTCCACCCCAACAGCAGACCTCAAGTGGAATTTGCCCATTTGTTACCAGCTGGAGGGATACACCTGGGTTTTTGTATGAAGCTGTTTAATGAGCCTGAGTGTTGAGAACTCAGCAGGCTGGAGCTTGGGACCCAGTGAACCATCGCCTGGTGTCTGTAGGTGGATCCTGTCTCCCACAGGCAACATCAACCCGAGGGTGGTGTCTTTAGAGGCAGGCACATGGTCAGCCTTGTCCCCTTCACCTCTACTGCAAGGCCAGGGGAGATGTGGTTTTCCTGCTGCTTCTACCATCACACTGGAGTTTCCAGATGGGAAATCAAAAAATAAAGGCAGTTAATTTCCCCGCTGTGACTCTCTTCCGTGGTGGGCTAGGGCCAGTGTCTCAACATTGCCAGATGGAGTGAGGAGTCTGAATTCAAATCTGCTTCTGAATTCTGTGGAGGGTTCTGGAATGTGGAAGCATTCCAGCTCCCTCAGGGACAAGGGAGGAAACAGATCCAGAGATGTCATGGACTTGCCCAAGGTCACAAAACCCAGTCTTGCTAGCCCAGCCTTGTCCCCAGCCTTAGTTTTAGGACCTTGTTGAGGATGGAATGGAGGTCTAGTGCAACTCCTGGACCTGGCCAAGAGAGACCCTGTCCTGGGTCCCAAGGCTGGAGGGCCCCACTCTGGCCCTCGTCTGGCCATTACCGTCCCCACAGAGCAAGATGTCTATGTGGCCAAAGCGACACACCCCACTCCTAGACCATGCTCCAGGTACCTGGGAAACCACAGTTCCCCACCCAAGTGGTCCTGAGCCTGCTTCCTGGACCTGCAGGCCTCTTGCCCATGTCTGTTCTGAGTGTGACCTGCACATGCAGGCCTGGGGGTGGCCAGCAAAAAGTTATTTGGAGGAATGATAGATGGGGCTTAGACTGTGGGCTGGGGTTTCCTCATGGGCATACATGAGGCTCTTCTCAGTGTGGGATGGGCAGGGGGTAAAAACAGAAGCAGTTCTGGCAGGAGGCTGGACCCTGCTCTCCTCTTGCTACCACAAGACTTTGTGGAATCTAAAATTCCAAATTCAAACCTGGCCTTCTATTCTTTACGAAAGTATCCTTTTTGAGGGAAACAAATAGAATATATTGAATCTTTTAGCTGGGAGTGGTGGCATGTGCCCATAGTCCCAGCTATGTGGGAGGCTGTGGTGAGAGGATCACTTGAGTCCAGGAATTCAAGCCAGCCTGGGCAACACAGTGAAAACCCTCCCCACTAAAAAACAAAAAGCGAAACAACAAAAATAGTCTATTCTTTGATTGTAATGTAAATACCTAGACACTTGGTATGTGAGTGTCCACATATGTTCTTTCCTGGAACCTGAAACATTAGGGCTGTGCCTGTCTTGAGCTATTTCAAGGGACAGTTCTGAAAGCCTCAGGAAATGGAAAGATTCAAAATCACATGTCTTAAGAATATGTAAAATAGTAGTAATTCTGCCCTTTTGGCATTTTGAAATGGAAAGATGAGAGATCAGGGAAGATGAATGGCTCCAAGCCCTCTCTTAAAATGCTAACTGTGATATAGGGAGCTGGTTCCCCATGAACAGAAATGGGTGTGCTGCCCAGGGAGCCATAGAGTTGGTATCCAAGAGCTCATCTGTGCCAAGTAAATGTTTCCTGAGATAATCTGCTGGTCCAACAGGAAGTTGGAAGAGCACTGAACAGGGGGGTTGCAGGTACCTGGATTCAGGCTGGGTTCATCACTTCTCATGGTCTCAATTTCCTCATGTGAAAAAGACTTTCAATAAGGGCTGATTTTTCTTCCAAGTCTAACAGGTTGTGAGTGTCGCCCCTGCCTTTCAGCTCTGACAGCACATACCCTAGGAGCAGGAATAGATTCCCTCAGTTGCTCCTGAGGCTATCACATGGGGTGACTTAGAATAAGACAGGGTCTCAGAGATGCAGTTGGTCACCAAAGAAGGCTATGCCAGTCCATATGCTTTTGTTGGCAAGAACAGATAATCCAATCTAAATACCATAAGGTGATATTTATTGGTTCATGTAACTTTAAAAGTCCACTGGGGTGGGGTGAAGATCAGGTATGACTCAGTCAAGGTCCCCACTCCATCCTCTGCTATCCTCTCAACTATTTGAACCTTTCCATTAATTTGATTCTTAGGGTGTTGACTGCTGCAGTTTCAAGCTTACATCTGCACCCTGCAAAATCCAGAGGAAGAGACAATGCCTATTCCAATGGCTCTCAAGAAATTCTTTTCCAGCAAGGCATGGTGGCTCATGCCTGCAATCCCAGCATTTTGGGAGGCCAAGGTGGGTGAATCGCTTGAGTCTAGGAGTTTGAGATCAGCCTGGGCAACATGGTAAAACCCCATCTCTACAAAAAATACAAAAATCAGCCGGGTGGGGTGGCGCGCACCTGCAGTCCCAGCTACTTGGGAGGCTGAGGCAGGAGGATCTCTTGGGCCTAGCAGCTTGAGGATGCAGTGAGCCGAGATCATGCCACTGCACTCCAGCCTGGGTGACAGAGCGAGACCGTCAAAAAAAAAAAAAAAAAAAACTGTTTAGGAAGTGTTGGATTTTGTCAATGTCATTATTTAGTGGCTCAGGCCTAATCAGTCACTTCTTTGGAGATTTAGGGGTATTCACAAAGTTTTTTTTCAGGTATTGGGAGTAACAAAGCAAAGATAGAGATGTCATTGGAAAGAAAGTAGTAATCACTCAAAAAAAGGAATGGTTGGTCGGGCCCAGTGGCTCATGCCTGTAATCCCAGCACTTTGGGAGGCCGAGGCAGGTGGATCACCTTAGGTCAGGAATTCAAGACCAGCCTGGCCGACATGGTAAAACCCCGTCTCTAATAAAAATATAAAAAACTTAGCTGGGCGTGGTGGTGGTTGCCTGTAATCCCAGCTACTTAGGAGACTGAGGCAGGAGAATCACTTGAACCCGCGAGGGGGAGGTTACAGTGAGCTGAGATCATGCATTACACTCCAGCCTGGTGATGGGGTGAGACTCCCTCTCAAGGTAAAAAAAAAAAAAATTGGTTCTGATGCTTTTCAATTGCAGCAGTGTGGGAGAAATATTCCTCCTGGTGACATTGCAGCTGGCTTTCTGAGTGTCGGCTATGACAATCTGAGGCATGGTAGGGGCACAGAGCTGACTTACTCTCTTGATCTGGACTAATTTTTTTACTCTTTCAGTGCTGGACTGGTTTTGATGTTTTCACTAGTAACATAAGCTCAGGCTCTGCTCAACTGACCTCCGAGGATCCAGCCTGTCTCTGGAATTCTATAGGCTGTCTGGGAACTCGTACCATGACCAGGGAAGTGTAGGGTTGGGGTTTGGCCCTACGCCTCTTACCTGTCTACCTGCAAAGCCGTTTTAGTAACAGATTTGTAAGCAAAGTAAGGTTTTTGATGGAAGCTTGGTCACCAGCACTTCACTTAGGAACCAGTGCTAGGGAAGGGGGTGGGACAATTTCTGAGTGTGTCCTGGGACAGACACACAGGCCAGCACTTCGTTAGGGGCATGGAGGGTATGTGTGGGTCAAATTGCTAAAGAATCTCCAAAGCTCATTACAATTAGTGGGCTGACCTATGCCACAACGCCTGCTCTACTGGAGTTGTTTGACCCCATCCTTCCCCCATCGTAGATAGAGTGAGTCAATTTAAATTTTCCATGAAGCAGTTCTTCAGCACCTGTGTAGTAATAATCAGCTTATAGGTCAAGGACGTTGGTGACTCACCAAGGAGATTGTTACATTTGAGCAATTCACCATTACAATCCATGGGCCCAGAGGTTCCAGGAACCTGGTTTCAGCCATCCCATCGTGGTGCCAGGCATGTAAGTGAAGTTAGCTTGGACCCTGCAGTCCAGCCTATCTGCCAGCTAAGTATCACTGAGTGATTTCAGTTGAAGCCACAAGAAGCTGAGCTACCTAGACAAGCTCTGTCCTAATTCCTAACAAACAAATTCTATGACATAAAATGGTGATTGATTGTTTTAAGCTAAGTTCTGGGGAGGAGCTTGTTACTTAGCAACATATAAGGGGAATAGTGCTCCTATTAAGAAATGGCAAGAGGGAAGCACACTATACACAGTGAATAAAGGAGGGAGTGCCAACCCAAGAGAAGCCATTGGCTTGCTTTTGGTGTCCTCTGCATGAACCATGAATAGAAATGTCTTAACTCAGGCCGGGTGCAGTGGCTCACACCTATAATCCCAGCACTTTGGGAGGCCAGGGTGGATGGATCACGAGGTCAAGAGATCGAGACCATCCTGGCCATATGGTGAAACCCCGTCTCAACTAAAATACAAAAATTAGCCGGGCATGGTGGCGGATGCCTGTAATCCCAGCTACTCAGGAGGGTGAGGCAAGAGAATCACTTGAACCCAGGAGGTGGAGGCTGCAGTGAGCTTAGATCGCACCACTGCGCTAGCGAGACTCTGTCTCAAAAAAAAAAAAAAAAAAAAAGAAATGTCTTAATTCCTACTGGAACTTTCATTTATCTGTCCAGGGACAATGCCAGAGTTGGGAGGGGACTTAGAGCTCATGTGGCCTAGTGTTCTCAACCATGGTGGAGTCACAGGGCATGCGGCATGTGACTATTAATAGATGGCATTAATAACCCAATTCTTCCCACCTCCCTGTATCTATACCCTTTCCAATGTCTTTTGCAACTCCTCCCATCAATTTTGTGGAATGTATTTCCCCACCCCTTCATTCTGAACTTGGCCCTCTAACTTGCTTTGGCTAATGACATCTTAGCAATTGTGACAGAGGCATTTTGTTTCCTCTCTTACTCTTACACCTCTTTGCCTTTGCCATGACAACATGCCTGGCATGTTGGAGATGCCAGAACTTAGCTTAAAACAATCAATCACCATTCCTGCTGGAGATGACATGAAGCAAAACTGTTGCTCCCACTGTGCTGGCCAAAGCCATCCTAGATCAGGTGAACCTCAGTCAACTGCCAGGCATATGAGGGATCCTGTCAAGACCAGAACTGTCCAGCCAAGGCCAGTCTAAAGCCAACCCAAACTTGTGAGCAAAATAAATGCTTATTAGTCATTGAGTTTTGGGATGGTTTGTTATATAACATTACGGAGGCAATAGTTAATGAAGATAGGTCTCCCTTCAGTGATGAACACAGCTTCCCCACGGAGATGGTTCAAGTCTAACTCCTATTGCCATCTGAGGGAACAAGCATATTGCAGAATAAGTGGTAGAGGATTTCTAGACTTAACATGTAGTTTAATTCAATCCAAATGTATTGAGCACCCATTATTGATGCTACAGAGAATTTAAAAGGAATATGGCCACTGCCCACCTAAAAGTTTATACAGTC